TATGTCAACGATGGGCGCATTGCCACTGCGACACCAAAGTCCCCCGACAATACTATAAGCTGATGAAGAGACAACCATGCAAGTGGTTCTGGTACATCTGTCCAGAGTGCAGGAAAATGCCCGCACTCCGCACAGAAAGCCTGAAGGAGATGCTCTCCGCCACGCAAAAGCTACCAGCATCCTCGAATAAAGTAGGGTTAACACCAAAGATAACACAGAGAGACCTGGAAACAGACCTAGAGCTCCAGCTGTGGGCACGCCACCTCGCGTGGGGACCATATTAGGTCAAGTCTCCATACCTCCTACCCGGCCCCAGGGGACGTCAAGCGCATGGCCAAAGACATCGACCGCTGAAGCCTCTACGAAACCCATTCCAAACACCCCACACACCGTGACTGAGAAACAACCAGTGGAATTACTCAAACCCATTGGGAAGTCGGGCGTGCCACCCACAACGAACCCAGGTCACAGGAGGACCAACTCGATCATTTTGTTCAACGTCGATGTATCGACAGACTCATTGTTGGTCGAGAGGGAACGGTTTGACAGCCGAATGTGGACCGACTACTGTCAGATGCTGGGACTCCCTCCCCTCCCTGCAACTTTATGTCGCCTTTCTCGAGGAAGCCGTGCACCCCGAGATAAGCCACCCCCTTTACGTGTGTCCCTAAATACTGCCAAAGAGGCTGAAGACACACTCCTCCTCTCGCGACAACCGGACGTTGTTAATGCCTGTAAAATTCGGGCCAGGCCTGACAAGCCATGGTCAATAAGAGAGGAGGAGAGAAAGTCAGCGGTTGGAAATCCCAACAGAAACAACACTATAGTTGTACATGGGATTCCAGAATTGCCAAGTGACAGCTCGGTCAAAGATCGGTACTTTCACGACGTCCAACAATGGCAATGGCTCTCAACCAAAGTTGGTCTCAACAGTATACCGGCCAACAGCGTCAGTAGACTGCCAAGGCCAGCGCACCTGAAGACCATACCCAATCCCAGACTACTCGCCGTCCAGTTCGACTCATATGCCTCCCTCACAGACGTTCTACAGCATGGTATAATGCGAAGATCGCATGGGTGGCTCAATACGTATATGTGAAAGTAAGCCTAGACCCACAAGGCAAGAGGAGAGACGGCAACCACCAAGACCTCTGGAGTCAGTGGTCGTCACACAGGCGCTGACCAGTGAGTTAGATACATCAAGTAAAGAAGCCACCACTGCCACAGCCCCCACCCAAGTTAAAACAAAACACAAAAAACGGAACAATGCCAGTCCTATGAGGACTGGCGAGGGTAGACCCAACCACATAAGCTCTCATCCTGCGAAAATACACAACCAGACCTCCCCTCTCACCAGGCACACTCTAATATGTATGTACAGCAACGTTAGGGGGCTAAGAGGGAAGGTAGCAGAAATGAGGACGCTGCGTGCACATCAGCACTCCGACATCATATTCATCACCGAATCCTGGCTCTCGCCGACATCTCCGACGAAGAGATGCATGTTACTGGCATGGAACTCTTCCGCAGGGACAGGGAACATAGAGCAGGAGGGGAGTGGCTATCTACGTAAACTCTGTTTAAAGGCAAGGATGGTTAGCGATACGGCCTTAACCCAGCTCCCAGAGTCCTATGGTGCTACTTCACTCTCCACAGTACCAAATACCTGCTCGGAGTCATATATCGGTCCCCCACCAGCTCCCCTACACATAAGGAAATGATCATCAAGGCTATCTTAACGACTTCCTCTGCAAATTACGATTCCGTAGTCATTGCCGGCGACTTCAACACCCCGTCCATCCTCTTCGAGACGGAAGGGAGACGCATCAGATCCTTCAATCAGAAGCTGAAGGATGCAATTAAGACTGCTGGCCTCTCAGAGAAAGTGGGTGATGCTACACGCTGGGGACCTAACGGAAACGCATCGCGCCTTGACTACGTTCTGACGAACGATGAACTTCTCATTGAGGATGTTTGCATCCAACCTCCCCTTGGCCTCAGTGACCACGCTGTAATCACCTTCTCCATGATAACTAGGGAGGCTCTGCAACTGGAGACGCCCAACACCTTCCCTTGCTACAGCAAGGCCAACTATGAGACCATGAGGGACTACCTCATGAATGCATCATGGCCAGTGGACTGGACTCATCTCACAATAGATGAACACTGGTTGGAGGTGAAGAAAATAATCACTGGGGCCATCAGTCACAGTGTACCAGAAGTAACACACAGACAATCAATGAGAACCTCATGGTTAAAGCGTGGGACAGAGAGGCTTATCCGGAGCAAGAAGCAGGCTTGGTTCAAGTGGCGTACATCACGCAGGGAGTCTGACTTCTTGAACTACAAAAGGATTCGCAATCTCTGTAACATTAGAGTGCGTAACGACAGATTTTCCTACCAAACAAACTTGGCAGCGAGGTTACAAAGCAACCCCAAAAACCTGTACCGCTTCATGTCAAGAAGAAAGTCGACCAGTAAGGGAGTGAATCTTGTCACAGGCCATGACGGGAGTGTGCTAAGCAGTCTAGAGATTGCCGAGCTTTTGAGCTCACACTTCCAAGCCCAACTCAGCACTGACACAAGATCCACACCGACTCGCCACGACACCGACCAGGTCGCAAATAACGAATACCTCTGTCACGTCTCTATTACAGAGAAAAAGGTGTTCGAGAAGCTATCTAGGCTACGTCCGGGCAAGTCCCCTGGCTGCGATAACCTGAAACCAGTGGTTCTGAAAAACTGCGCCGAGGTGCTTACCAAACCACTTCGCAACCTCTTTGAGCACTCAATAGACTCGTGCAAACTCCCTAAAGAATGGAAGAGTGCCATCTTGTCACCCATCTTCAAGGGAGGAGACAAAAAAGCCCTGGCAGCTACAGGCCGATTGCCCTACTCCCTATTGTGTCGAAAGTGTTGGAAAGCCTGGTAGCTGACACCATCTGGGAATTCCTCAATAGGAAAACACTGTCCACACTGCTCAGCACGGCTTTCGTAGTGGTCGCTCATGTGCCACCAACTTACTAACCGCCTGGGACGACTGGACACAAAGCTGGGATAATAGAAAACCTGTACATGTTGTATTTCTCGACCTAGCCAAAGCATTTGACAGTGTCCCACCCACAGTACTGCTTCACAAGATCATGTCAGCTGGTATAAGTGGACCCCTACTCTCTTGGTTCAAGGAGTACCTGGAAGGGAGGCAGTTCTGCACTAAAGTGAACAGAATAAGGTCGGAGTGGAGACCCTCGACGTCAGGAGTATCCCAAGGAGCAATCCTAGGACCGCTTCTGTTCCTCCTGTTTGTCAACGATCTGCCAGACAAAATATCCTCACCCATCCTCCTCTTCGCTGACGACATAAAAATTTGGAGGGTGGTAAACGAAGAAGCTGATTGTACAGCACTACAAAAGGACTTGCAGCAACTCGAGCTCTGGTCGTCGGAAAACGGCCTGACCTTCAACCTAGGGAAGTGCAAAGTAATGAACATCAGTAAGGGAAAGACGTATCCTGAAAGAATGAAACGCCTAAACCTATTTACCTTGGGTTATAGTAGGAAAAGGGGTGACCTTGTTATGGCACACAAGATCGTCCATCAGGCGGATCACTCAAACAAATCAATTTCGCATGCGACTCAACGATCTTCACGAGGAAACCCCATTAAGATAGCACACCAGAGAGCCAACACCATACTCAAGTCCAAATTTTTCTCCCTAAGAGTACATGCTTTGTGGAATGCCTTACCGCGACACGTCGTTATAGCTCCCTCAGTCGACTCGTTCAAGAGGCTATTAGACAGTTATGTCACCTCGCATGGACTACCACGGACGTACTCAGGTAGTCACCAACCTCACTGGCCATCAGCTCCCCCCTAACTACCACTCACTATCTCCCTCCTTAATACACCCACATTACCCACTTATTCTTCTGTAGCAACCAAACCCACGCGACCATTCGCGCAATTACCAAATACTTTTCTCTCGTTCTCATCTCTCTTTTCACCCCTCCTTTTCTTCTCCTTCCCTTTTCTCTTCCCTATATCATTATTTTTTGTTCTTTTTTTTCCTAATTTTTTTATTCTCTCTTCATTCCTTCACCACTACCTAACTATTCTGTTTCAGGTACCTACACAGACAGTAGTCACAGCAGTTCCCTAAACCTCCCAGCAACCCGTAGCTCTCCAATTACTCTACAAATTACAACTTACTAACCCACAAAACATCCACCTCACCGAAGCTAGAAGCAAGAAGGCAGAGGGAATTTCCTCGTCCACTGCAGGAGTGAACCGAACAACTCTGACCAAGCCCTAAGAACTAGACGCGAGGGATCAAAACTACCAGTTTTCTACGCTCGCACTATCAATATTGGATATTGGATTGGAATATTGGGTCCAATCCTTACTCTCTGTTAGCTTTAGGTGCTTGGAATAACCTACCCGCAAGTTTTTCAGGCTATTTAACAACAGTTCCTGGAACCCGAAGTGTAAGTGGACCCAAGGTTGCAACTTGAGCACATAGATTAAGTCACCGACGTCCTATTATCTTTTATGTCATATTTTTCCTACATAAGTTTACAGATGAGGGGACAGGCGGTTCACGGGTCCTAGACGGAAACGTTAGCTACTTGAAAGCCTTTTGATTTAGCCTCCAATCCTATGAAATGTCTAAATAATAGCTCATGAAAACAATATTCAATATTTGAACGTTGGTGGTAACTTAAAAAATTTTTTCTTCGAATAAGAACTGTGAAAAAATCCAGCAGCTTCATGCTCCTAACTAGAAACATACCTTTTGTTTTCATCCATCGCTTCTCAAATTAAGAACAATAAAATTGTGTTTTGTTTAGGTTCGTTGCTGCCGGACCTCAAATCCCGGTAGATTTAACTTTGTTCGGCTAACTTCTGATAAGGATATTGAATTCGTTAATACAGCGTATCTCATCAAAACGCTGGTTATCCAGCAATGAAAGCATAGTGTCTTTTGAAGATTTACTTGACAAATATGTCTGCTAATTATTTGTATTCAAATACTCCGTTGGCATCACTTTTACCACACCAGCAACATCTGGTTACTCAACGTAGTCGCTCAGCTTCAACATCCAACGCTTGTCCAAATATTCCTGTACAATATCAAGGTGCTCTTTCACAACCTTATCAGACTCTTGGACCTATGGATGGTTCTTGGACTCAAGCCCAAGGATTGTATGTAAATGGATTAAACAAACTGGTGAACATCTTTCCGGGTCAAAACATGACAGATATGGAGCAAACGCCTACGAGTCAACCGAATGAGGTAAGTTTATGATAGATTTTCCCTTAAAAATTCTGGGACTCCTACCTACTTCTACATGCAATTATTCCAAACTGATTTGATCTTCCCCTTGGTTATCAGCGTACTATCTAGTTGAAGTTAGCGTATCTCTTTAAAGAAAAAGCACAACTAATTATCGCACTTCTCGAAAATAATTTTCATTTTCTGTAATTCAAACGTAAGAGATTTTTAGCAGCATCTGAATTGCCCTCAGTGGGTGTTACCATGGTTAAACATCCCATTAAAACGAAGTGTTGTACACTAAGCGGTCACATCACAATATTCTGTTCTATTCTTAACATCAACTAATCAGAAAATGTGTAATTTGTATATTGTCAGTTTTGAGTAAAATTCTCACTATTTACGAGTTAACTAAATGATAACGAAAATCGGTTAGTAAATACCATAAAGTGTCTCTTTATGCATCTATAGTTTATCTGTTATCACATAGAATAATGATTGATTCATCTCAGTATGTTCACTTGTTTGATATGTCAATTGAAGGACCACTTTCAGGAAGAACTATCTGTGTAGAACTCCAGACAGAGTTGTGAGGGTGGTTCACACTTCTCGGTTGCCCACACCGTGGAAGGCTATTTCTTCTTAAGGTACCTGAAAGAGATTTGTGTGACCGCACAGCCCATCGGACATCTGCTTGAGGCCTATCACACACAGCCTTTTGAGTATGATTATTTTGAACTTTTGTATTTTTTAGGGCTGGATGGTCGAAAGGAAACGACAAGTGAACCAACACCACCGACCCGGCAGACCGTGGGGCATGGTGGAGTGTGTTTTTTTGGGGGCTGACCTTTTCTAACCCCCCCCCCTCCCACTTCCACTGAGAAGGCAGGCAGCATCAGCATGGCACTGCTGGTCATTGGAAGGGAAACACCTTACTGCTGTCCACTCCATCCAGCTAGCAGCAGTACGACTTCGCCCTCAGACCCCTATCATAGTGTAGCAATTTACACCATAACGGTAATTGCTTTTCGTCTAACCACTATCCAACAGACCTTTCTGGTGTGGCAGGACCTCGAGGGAACAAGTGTTCCACCAGTATAGCTCGTTGTGTCATTGTGATATGCAAGCCTGACCACCAGGTCGAGGTAGCATCTATCGGTCGGTCACTCCTCGTTTCTTCTCGTACTCTATATTTATTTTGACTGCATTCACTTATCTTCATCCTTACCTCACTACCTCTTCTTGATGTACTGATGTGAGGTTGGCAACTCGGACTGTTACGCAGTAATGCCTGGTCCTATGTTGATGTTTACTGATTGATTGATTGTGTAGAACTCCATATTCCTCCATATCAGTCTTATGGTTGCAAATGGTAACTTTCATAACTTGAGTGGTATTCAAGAAGCGGGTCACTCTGACACGTTTGAAGTTGTGGGTGAAGTCACTGACTACGTTGAATATTTCAGTCATTTGATAGGTTGTATCAGCCATATAAAATCAGCAGGAATACATACAGGTTTGCTTAACATTTCTCGACTCATATTATGGATGTTACTATCGAGATATCATAATGCTTATCTAAGAAAGAGGTTGCACAGCTGTATATTTCATCCTATTTTGACGCCAGCAGAACACGCAAATGACATAGTCATGTTACGTAAAGACGACAAGATGTAGAGTCTTCTGGACACTTTGAGTGGCAATTTGTGAATGTTTGGGATGCCTTTCTCACCACCCAAATGCAAATTGTTGCTCCAGAATTGGTCTTCAACGGTGCCATGGATAACAATAGAATGAATACAGTGATTGAGTGTGCCGACGTTAACTTTGTGACCTGTCTTTATCATATGTTTAGCTATAGATGAAGAAGGTCGTCTCCCACCAGCGTTTATCATGGTTTGAAATTCTATTTGTTGTTGAAGCCATTTAGGCAGATGTTCTTCCACCGTCAACTGCATGACTCGATTACTCCTCCCTATGTATGTGTTACCCCCCACACACACATACACGCACAGAGATGTAAATTGGTAAACATAATGGGATGTGACGTAATCACTGATGCAGTGTTTAGGTTTGTGGGGGAAGCATGTGTTTTGTTTTCTCCACAATGGTAAGATTCGCTGCGTAATACGTTTTCTTATTGGTTGATGTTAGTCTACGTCTTAAAATGATAGTATTGAACACCCCTGTGTTATGGTAGAGTGATGTGGACATTTTTCTTAAGGACCGTGTATAGAGTTGGCTTCGGTGTGCTACTTGACCTGTATCTACAGCACGGTTTATAGACTTCATCGAATATCGATTTTGTATAAGTGTTTTGTTCAGTAATTTGATATCTTCATGCATCGTATGTGGTATAGTGATACGATAGATTCTATTAAACAGGCATTTTATTATACCTCGCTTGCATTGGATCGAACAGAATCTGTGAAAACTCATGTTATCGTCCTGTCCATGTAGGCTTTGTGTAAACTGACCGTGTTATTGAACCATCTCGTTGTCGACTGATGATGACGACTGAAGAGTATGTTTAAGAATGGCAGATGATTATTATTGTCTTTCTCAGAAGTCAGGCTGATGTGAGTTTGTACGGTGTCAAGTGTTTTTAGTAGACAAAGCATATCTTCATGCCTCTCACAAATCACTATGATGTCATCAGCATATCTGTTGTAAAGAGAAAGTTAAGCGATGAGATCATCAGCGAGATTATCGATATATGACACATAAATAAAATATCAGCTAATAGTGGTCGTAAGGGACTACCCATAATTAAACGGTCAACTTGTTGAAAGCGTTCGCCTTCAAATTTGAAGTAGACTTTCTCGGTACACAGCAATAATAGCTCCTTCAGAAAGGTTGGAGTAATAGGAGACATAGGAGGTTTTTCGAGGATATATAGTCACAGAGGAGGGGGATAGGCTGGATTGCGGAGAAGAACCTAGAAGACTTTGATTTCGCCAGTGATGACTTGTATTTGATGTCGCAGAAACTTGAAGATGTACAGGCGAAAACTAAGAAGTTGTCAGAAGAGGCAGCGAAGACATGACTTGAAGTGAATGTAGTGTCGAGAAGAGAGAAGTGATGAAGATACCCAACCAATAACACGATCAAGAACCACAAAAAGCTGCATTCACCAGTAACGGGAGGAAGGTACAGGAAGTAGCCTCGTTGACCTATCTAAGCAGCACTGTTTCAACTACAGGAGGCACAGACGAGGATGTCAAAGCCAGCCAGGATCAGAAAAGCAAGTCAGGCGTTCATTAACCTGAAACCAGTGTGGAGATCTGCACTCAGCACGTGGAACAAGATGCGGATTTTCAACACCAACGTCAAATCAGCGCTTCTATGTGGTGTTTGAGATACTTGGCGTTACGAAAGGGATTTCCAACGAACTGCAGACAGCACACATGAACAGCTGCTTACACTGGCTCGTTACTGAAGCTGAGATGGATTGCCAGAAAGAGTAAGCAACAAGGAAGTCTGGCTGGGCGACGAACCAACGAGTGAAGAACCTATCGCTGAACAAATATGCACTGTAAGGAAGTGTAGATGGACTGAGCATACGCTCAGAAGTCCGACTGTGGACATCACGCGTCATGTGAGTTGTTCGAGTGGAACCGAGATGGGAAGCGACGAGTTGGGTGTTGGAGATGAGGTTGACATGGAGGAGATCATGCGAAGAGGACATGAGAGCTTATGGGCTGTCGTGGCTCTTGGTTGAAAAGATTGTAGAGAATAGAGTGGAGTGGAGACGTGTTACTGAAGTGGTATGTTCCATTGGGAACCCAAGGGACAAATAATAATAATAGTCACAGAGAATGCTAATAGTCCTCAACAATGGCATGTTAGTGAATAAGAAATTTACATCTTTTTTATATTCATGTTGCTGAGATAGTCAACAATTTGAAAAGAATCCTTCAATGAAAACTTATAGAATTCATTTCGAATTAGATTTAACATTTTCATCAACCATTTTACCAGTTTATGTGTATGGGGGAACAACATAAACAGTATAGAGCGTAAAAGATTATTAGCTTTATGAATCTTAGGTTATCCATATAAATTTGGTAATTGTTCAAAATGTATTGCTCATGCTATCGAAACTGGTCAGTAATTAGTGCCAATAGTTCCCTTAACAAGTTAAGGTTTAACTTGATTTTGCTCATAACTATTCAAAATGAGTTCATACATCAATTACTTCGAATAAAGTCATGGTTATTATGTACTTTTGACTGTAGGTTATTCTACATCATTTTTTCTCTCTAGCAGACTAGTTATATAAGAGTCTCAGTGATAAGTGTTTAACGGGTTCCTCCTCAAATACCGATATAATTTTCTAATTTTAAAATTGTAAATAACAGATTCGTCTCTGTATATTTCGTATAATCGTTGAGATGACAGTACACGCTTACTCAAAACAACATCTGATGAAAGTTCAAACAAGTAAAACAAAAAGAGAAGATCTTCCAGTAAACATCAAAACCGATTACTAACAATTTGATCTTTTTACCATCGTCAAGATTAACTCCATATTATGGCCTTGTTATATATTTTGAACTGGCTTAACTGATAGCTAACTTTGTACACAAGACTTAACTGACTCCAACCCTGAATGAATAAAGAAGACAATGAACTAGATAGAGAAATTTATTCCTCCTAGAATAATAACCAATATTATCTCAAACTCACACATGTGTATGTATACACATGAGATATAACCTTGTTCAGGTTACCTTGAAAATGGGGCAGAAGTGAACTATTGACCATACCGTAACAAATGATATAAGAACGCCAATTTTCAAAAAAAAAAACAAAACAACAACATTTAGATTAGTAAACAATATTTTATGCAAAAGTGGAACGTTTCAACAGCCTTCTAAGTTATTATCTCTTTGCATTCAAAATAAGTTTGGTTCCATCCAAGAACAGGTGATTATCAAGGCGAAATTTTTAAGGAATGACGACTGTTTTCGATCCATCCGAATACTCAGATAAGTTTATCTGTCTCAGTCTTCCTAATTCCTACATGGGCCATGTCTTAGTATTACGTTTTAGTTTCTGGGTTGATATTATATGTATATGACCCCGACCTCAAGAAGAAATGGCTTTCCACATATCTATCAGCACTCAAATACTTCCAGGTCATCAACCTCCAACATCTGTACTTTGTAACCCTTCTCTATGTCTCTCGGTCAATATTTTGACAGTGTCTTTTACTTTGTTCAACTTCACAGGTTTTGATAATGTACCGAGGTTAGACTAAAACGTCACATTAGTTAAAAAAAAGTCTTTAACTGTCTGTTTAAGCGATATGGTGAATTGTAAACTTCGTGGTTGGATTCCATATAATAACAGAAACCATCATCATTGTCATCAAGATCAGCATAGGACCAGGCATTACTATGTAACGGACCAAGTTGCCACATCTCACCTCATATCACCACATCAAGTGACGAGGCAATAAAATGGAAGATGAAAGACAAATCGGTCACAGGAAGTAGAAGTAGAAAGAGAGAGGAAGGGAGAATGTGATGATGAGATTAAGTATAGCGGTTAAGATGAGGATAATGTGTGTGGGGATACATCTGTGCCAGTGACATCGGTTCTCAGCTATATCGTCATCTAGAGTGAGTCTTCAACCATTTGTTTCTCTTGTCATGCCGACCCTAGCTGGCTAGTCTACATCGTCCAACTTAACTCAAACCAACAGTCAAGTACTTCATGTCATGTTTTAGTCTGGTCACTCCCAGGGTTTCGCTTGGTATTTAATAGCATTGTGTGTTACTTTCTTTTCGTTTTGTAATAGAAATTCTTTCTAGATAGTGATTTTGTTTTTGTATGTTTTACCTGTGAATTTTTGCTGTTTTTCACCTTTACGCAACTCTACCAGATTCTGTCTGTACTGTGAGTATATGTGTTTATGCATGTAAGAAGTGTAGACAGTCAACTAGTTGCACACTGTACATATCCCTTTGTTCGTTCATGTTGGTTGGTTGGTTGATTTATTATTAATATTATTATCTTTCCCTTGGGTTCCTAGTGAAACATGGGGATTCAGTAGGACGCCTCCATTCCACTCTGTTCTCTGTAGTCTTTTCAACCTGGCTCCACGACTGCGCAGAAGCTTTCATTTCTTCCTCACATGATCTCCTCTATGTCACCCTCACCTTGGACGCCCACCTCATGCTTTCCCCTTTGGATTCCACTCATGGGCCTGGTACGTGATGTCCCCAATCAGCCTTCGCAGTGTATACCCAATCCATCTCCACTTCATGTTGGTTGGTATTGTAACTTAAACGGACAGAGATAGTCACTTATCTTCCAGTCTACTTGATGGCTATCAGTGAAGTCCTGGATGCGCGTTTTGTCTTATTTGGGCCTGAGTCGTTAAGTACCATGTACCTTCCCATTGAGAATCGGACCCAGTAACGCTAAGACGTTATCCACCAGACCATTGGGGGGTGGATTTAGATCCAGCTGACGACTAAGCTTCACGAAACGTGCGTCCTAAGTTCCTTAACTATCCACCAAGTTCCGGTTTAAGCCCTGCTTAGCCTAATGAGGTTTGAACTGCCAGGTAGTATTAATAGCTCTCATATAATGAGTATGGCTCATTGCTTACTGTACAAGGTTGTTGAGTACACCAATGTAGGTTACAATATAATGAATATCGAGTCATCTGCATACGGAAGCCTATCTGCCAATAGAGGTGGAGCAATTCAACCCTGTATAGCAACAGAGAATTACACATATCAATAAACAATAGAATGTTAAATTGTCATGTTTAATTTTAGTAAATTTTTGAATATTGAATGTCTCTACTTTTTTTCTCCCCTGCTTAGATTTACAAATATCCATCAAATATTAAATTAAACGAGTTAAGTACAAGATCATGTAGTCATACTTTTCAATCGTCAAATGGAAATACTGTAGGTAATCATGGTGGATCTGTTACACTAGGCGGAGGTCAACAAGTTCATTTTGCAGTTGCAGCCAGTTTGAATGGTTTAGTTCAATCGCATACAGGATTACAAAATCCATTAACATCTATACACTCTGATCAAACATCTATTCTTCATTCAACATGTCAACATTCATCTGGTCAATCATTTCTTATTCCTGGGATAATAGGACAACCAAGTATAAGAACATTAACACAGGATAATTTATCTCCATCTCTATACAAAGAGTCTACTTCAAATCAATCAATTTTATCAACAGGTTCAAAGCAAATAAATCATTTTAATAATACAACTAATACTATACATGATATTCATCCACGAATGATTGATGTTAATATATCAACAAATCAATCAAATTATATTCCATCAATTCCAATTCAACAACATTCTGTTATCTCTCATCATCAACTTTATACAAGTCCTACACTTCAACCACCGCCGCCGCCACCACCACCACCATCATTACATGGTATGGTAGAATATGTTCAAACTGTATATCCTACTAATCCAAATATTCATCATATACCATATACTCAACAATCTGCAACATTATTTAATCATTATTCAAATCCATTGAATTCAAGAATGAATACACGTGTACATCATCATCATCATCATCATACTACATGGACTGGTCATGAAGATAATTCTTCATCGAATGTTAATCATGATTCATCATCTATTAAAAAGATAAAAAATGGTAAAATGATCATTTCAAATGAATTTTCTTCTACTAGAAATGAATATAATTTGAATTCACATGGTGTATATTCACACTATCCATCTACTCCATACTTTTCTGGTGGTTTCAATCAATCATCTTTTTATCAATCAGATACTCAGAAAACAGATATACTGACTAACTTACCTGGTTCTGTTACATTCCAACATAATAATAATAATAATGGTACTACTACCAATAATAATAGTAATAGTAATACTAATAATAATCATAATGACATACAAAAACATGCATCCAATTATCAGAATCCTATCCCTTTACAGTTTAACAATTCTGCAACATCATCAATGATGAATAGAATCGATTTCCCTAGTAATGATATCTCATATATGACATCTGTTCCAATGAATCAGTTACCGGTAAGATCTACTCATCAAGTTCATAATACTGCCTATTTACCATCAATTCCATCTTGTCTACCTGTTCAAAACAACAACAATAACAATAGTGGTAGTACTACTAGTACTAGTAATCATAATAACTATACTAACAATCATAATCCACACTCTTCACATGCATATATATTCAATTCTGAGAATTCGAGTACATTACAACAACCAAATTATCCTGTAAAAGATAACTATTCTTATGGAAATCAAAAATCACGTGATTGGAATAAATCGAAAGAGATAAATCATTATAAAAATGTACTAAATCTTCGTCATTCTCGTCAAACTAATATTCGACTAAAGAATGGAACGAAAGGATATGGATCAGAACGACAAATTGGTCTTATAGATCGTAGGATTACTGCTAATTATGCAAATGATAAATCAAGTGTATCAGGAAGACATATTAATAACAATTTCACATCTCATACAACTACAACTTTTGTTCCTTCAGGTGGTCCTGGTCTTATATCTTCTAATACCTCTACACCTTGCTATGAATTCAATTCAAACAGTCAGGTGAATACAAAACCGAATCATATTGATTATCATCCACAATTTTATGCAAACACATACAGTTCAGTGAATCAACCATCAATGATGCATACTGAACATTGTGATGGTGGTCTGCCAAGACCTATCCAAAATTATCAATCATGTCTTATGAATAATAACTTGTTGTTACCTAGTTGTATTCAAAGTCTTCCTGAAAATCTGATCGCAAGCTTAAAATTGAGTGGCTTTCGACTTGTTCTAGACTCATGTCCAACAAGGTAAGTCTTCATCATCCTGCTCGCTATTATGTGTGCGTGTGTGCTAACTGTTACTGTTTGTCTCATTCTCATGTCATTCACATTTATTCCTTAAATGACCAAAAGTGTCATACTGATTCTGCCTTCCCTGGGGTAAGTGGGGGGGGGATGCCTCAGAAACGGTTTGCCCTAAAAGGAGCACACTCCCACTACCCCACAGCCTGCCGATGCCGGTGACCTAGGTTCATAGTCTGGTTCTGGAGCAACCAGCTAGAATTTCAGACTTTCAAAAGGGTCATGTGTGACTAGCCTCAAGCAGATGTCCCTTGGGCTCTACGGTCGCACACTAGACCTTCTTTGTGTTACCTAGAGAAGAAATAGTCTTCTACAGTGTGTGCTCCCTGGACGTGTCGACCACCCATACCTTTCTAATAGTATACAAGATCCAATCAAACGTAACCTATCTCCGTCAACTCAGTCATCTTTGCTCTTCAACTCCTGAATTAAGCCTGTTACAATTTCCTTAGCCTTTCACTCTACTACCATTGTCAACGATCAAAGTCATGAAAACATTCCCAGTCTCCTAAGATCCACCTATTGATTTCATATGATTTTCAGCGTCCGCCCCCTATATGAAACTGAACATCAGGCTGAGTTGCCTTGGATATGTACTCCCCATCACGAGCCACCGTCTCTACCTTGACGTGTCATGCTAAGCGGAGTTGAATTACGTTGGGAGAGGGTTCAGGATACTCCAACCAAGATGTGTCATCAGTGGGTGAATTCCCCGACTGTTGGTCTAAACCGTGTAGGGGTACTCAAAGCAATACAAATCTGTGGTTGAGGGCTCTTGTTTGCATTGCCAAAAGTCGGTGGCAATGGCGTAGATGTATGTATTCACTGTTCCACGTCTTGTAAAGCCAGAGTATTATCATTAGCCCATATTTTCAGATTGTTTTTTCTCTCGTACTACTTTAGCTATTTTGGTACTAATGTTATTCTATGCACATGTTCTTTGTAGAAGACATGAGAAGGCTTCAAGTGTTTGACCACCGTTACCTTCGTAGTATAGGCCGTATTCCGTGATGTCACCACATCACGTGAGTAGTTCATAAGTCAGGTATAGACTTTTAGGGAGGGAGTAGAGGTAAATCAGTTGACGAGGTTATGAATCTTCATCGACTGAGATGGTTGGCGGTGACATGTGTTACGTATGCCTAGTGGCCGTCTGTCTCGTCAAACAATGTCGGCCGATGTAGGTCAAGGCTGTAAAAAGGCCCGAGGTGGCCAGACTGAAACATGACACTAATGCATGAAGTCTCTGACTGTTGGTTTGAGCCATGTAAGGGAGGGGGTATGGCGATGCAGACTAGGTGGTTGGGTTGGGGTCGGTGGGACAAGAGTAACCAGTGGTGGTTGTAGACTGACTCTAGGTGATCACATGGCTGACAACCGATGTCAGTGGCGCAGATGAACCCCCACTGGCGTTGTTTTGCATGTCATTTCGTCGAAGCGTGTCTTTATGAGCAGAACAAATCCCGAGATTGTTACAGCGTTAGTCACAAAGACTTTGTAAGCAGCACCCAGCACAAAAGACACGCAAGTCACTGTCGAAGATCGAAGTCTTTGGCAGTTGGCAAATCTCTGAGTCTTACTGCTGTTTTTCAAGCACATGAACCAGCATGGAGAAAATATACCACCGTCCAAGTAAATAACCATCCAGTGCGACTACAAATCCACACAGCTTCCGATATTACGACCATTTCCAAGAAGCTGTCATGGAAGATTGACCGACCTGTCCAAAAGACTGTGCAAACTGCTATTAACGCACGCGATGGCTGATTGCCACTAACAGGTCAGCTATCATGTACTGTATCGCGCCCTTCTACGAACACCTACAAAAACGGCTGCGTCAGCTGTTAAAACGAATATGAGATAACGGTTTCTGGCTCCGTTCTGAAAAATGTCAGTCTTACCTACATTCAGTCAAATATATAGGATTTATTTTTCATGCTTCCGCTCACCGACACCAGGCTTCTTGGTGTCAGTGGCTCGGATGATCTTGAACAGCTTCTGACTATTTTCAGGTGCAGCTGCTGCTTCCATCTTATACGTGAGTTCTGACCACCAAGCCTCATTGTCCTTCGGAATGATCCGACGGGCGTCAAGAAGTTTCAGGTAGCTCGCAAAGACTCAGTGTTTATAAACGGTACGTTCTTCCAAGCTGCAAGCGTGTTTACTTGCCATTTTCATGGCGTCTTGCAAGTGCCGCCAATGCTCGTTTACACTTTCTTGAGGATCGGTGACCAGCAGTAAATCTTGTTTGGATTGGTATCTAGCTGCAGTGTTAGGTGCAACTAATTTGGTTGGATTGACCTGTTTAAGACGACGATGTTGATGGCCACCAAAACGCAAGACGAGTTTAGTACATACTAAAGCATGATCAGAGTTCAGATAAGTACTCCATAAGGAGCGGCAGTCCTGTATGCACCCACACCATCGGTAGCTGATTACAATGCGATCTATTTGAGTCCAGGCTTGAGTGGCAGAGGAAGGATGCCAAGCAGTACAACCTCAATGGCTGCAACGAAGTTGGTAGCTGGCTAGAAGTAGGTTGTGATCTGCGCATAGCTGCAGAAGACGATCTTCATTATCTGACCTGCGACCAACCTGTGCATTCAATATCAGGAACTGCATTCCCATGGTAACAGGTAATCAGAAAAAGTTCATATGTCATTCGTCCCACCTGGAACCTGGTGCCTATCATTGCTTTGAAATAAGGGTTTTCCAACTCCTATTGGTAGACACGCAGTGTCCACCAATCTGATGATAAGCGCCAGACATTCATTTCCACTTCTGTGGAAAACAGCACTACCAGTCAGAGGCAGTGAATATAATTTCTCTGGTAGAGGTTGTGAACATATGCCAAGGCATTTAGGGGTGGATGGATGAGGAAATCGGATATGATTCCCACGGAAACTTATTTGTTTTTGTGTTCATATTGACGTTGAAGAATAGATATTTTTCTTACTACCATCGCCCCCCCCCTTGGCCAGCATTATCACCGTTCATCTTGACCCTTACATACAGTAGTTCTACACCACTTGAAGTTCAGCTACTTTCACGATTTGTATTTGCTTTGTCAGCAAAACGTCTAACAATTTTGAACAATGCCAGAACAAAGACATTTCCATAATGACGTCAGCCCGTTTTACTTCACCGCCTTTCATCAGCTGCAAACAGCGCTTACAATCGAAATGAAATTTCAGTAGTAGTAATAATGAAATAGCACACTTTAAATGTGTATGAATCAATCGTAGAAAGAGAATAGAGAGGGTTGTAACAGATAGGAGTGTAGAAGAAGGAGTCGGTTATGAGCTTGTAGGTTACGTATGTATATGATACAGTTACCAAGGTAAGGAAAGGTTTCTTTATGGTCTCTCTCTGAGTACGCACGTCAGGTTAAAAGTGTTTGATGGTGAAAACTTCTGAAAAGCGTAACTAATATGGCGTTCGTTGTTTATTGAACATCCTCAAGGATTGAGAAACATTTGTTTCATATCCTGTTTCCATCATGTACCTGGTGGTTGAGCTAGTAAAAAGGTCTTGGTACCTTCCAGATGCAGATATGTTGATGTGCTCCTTTGTTTCAGTGCTTCCTATGTAATTGCTTCTACAAGAACATGTGTATAGATATACACAGTTGGAGATGATGTGAGATGAGTATTTGTCTACTTTTCACTATATTGTAAACTGAGATCAATCTGGGAGGATGGCAGCTCCTTCTCAATGCAACTTTTATTCTTCTGTCTATTCCTTTCAACAGTTGGGGTCACTCTTTATAAGAGTTTCCTCAATCTTGGTGAATTCTACTTCCAGTTTGTTTTTTCCGCATACCGTTCTTATTGTAATGAAGAGCATCTTGGCTAAACGACGCTTATAGTTGACAGGATAGAAAGTATTGTAGTGAAAGGTAGTGATCAATCCATATATCTTTTCTGTGAACCTCTGTCTGATACTCAGATCCAAAAATGGAATCTATCCTCATTTTTGTATTCCATTGTAAAATTAATATTTGAATTAGCTTGATTGAAGGTATCGAACAACTTTGACTCGGATATGATCGGCAGATTGGATAGGATAGGTGGTAGTAGTTAACCCGTAGATATTCTATTAGTTTCCCAGTGTAGTTCAACACTAAACTGGAAGTGAATACTAATGGGGCAGTAATTGACAATCAGCGTCGACCGAGAAGTAATTTAACACTACGGAATACCACAAACCTTTATCAGTCTCATTCAACAACTATATGAAGACGCCACATGGCAAGTAATCCACAATGGGAGGCTCAGTGATGCTTTTGAAGTGAAGACAGGGGACAGGAGTGAAACAAGGTTGTCTACTATGACCCATGATATTCCTGATTTTAGTGGACTGGATCATGCAAGAAACAGTGAGGAGTGAGAAGAGTGGGATACACTGGACCGCGGAAAAGAATCTAGAAGAGTTGGATTTCACTGATGACTTGTGTCTAATGTCGCACAAACTGAAAGATCTACAGGCGAAAACTAACGAGTTGGTAGAAGAGGCAGGTCAGGTCAGCGAAGACGGGACTTCAAGTGAATGTAGTGTAGAGAAGAGAGAGGTGATGAAGATACCCAATTAATAACACGATCAAGAGCCACAAAAAGCTGCAATCACCAGTAACGGGAGGAAGGTAAAGGAAGTAGCCTCTTTCAGCTATCCAGGCAGCATCGTTTCAACTACAGGGGGCGATAGAGACGAGGGCGTCAAAGCCAGCGAGGATAGGAAAAGCAAGACAGACGTTGATTAACCTGAAAGTAGTGTGGAGATCTGCACTCAGCACGTGGAACAAGATGCGAATTTTCAACACCAATGTTAAGTCAGTGCTTCTATATGGTTCATAAACTTGGCAGGTTACTTAAAGGATTTGGAACAAACTGCAGACAGCACACATGAACAGCTGCTTACGCTGGCTGGATACTGAAGATGGAGATGAGATGGCGAGAATAATAAATAAGAATAAGGAACAAGGATGTCTGGCTGGGCGACGAACCAATGAAGCAAGAACCTACCTATCGCTGAACAAATATGCACTGTAAGGAAGTGTAGATGGATTAGGCATACACTGAGAAGGTCGACTGGGGACATCACGCGTCATGTGAGTTGTTCGAGTGGAACCGAGATGGGAATCGACGAGTTGGATGTTGGAGATGAGGTTGACATGGAGGAGATCATGCGAAGAGGACATGAGAGCTTGTGGGCAGTCGTGGCTCTTGGTTGAAAAGATTGTAGAGAATAGAGTGGAGTGGAGACGTGTTACTGAAGTGGTATGTTCCATTGGGAACCCAAGGGATAAATAATAATGATAACTGACATTCAGAGTAGATCATATCATCCATTCTTATTCTACAAATGTGTTTGTGTTAGGTATGCCTAATCCCTAAGAGAAACTAACTTATGTATATATTATCATTATTAAATTGTAAGCCTTATTTTCGCTCCGTTTTTGCTCGATACAATGTTATTTGTTTTTATCGGGGTTTAAGATATAAAACCCTGATCGGTTCTTTTTAGCCAAAGACCATTTAAGGTTATATTTGAAACAGTTAGTCCCTTCTATGAATTTCGATAGCGTAATTAGAAGACGAAGTTTATCTGAGCAATGTGATTTATTTTGCGCAATACACATTTCGAACAATCTGACCACACATTTATTTGTCAAGTCAATATATATTAGATCGAGGACTGAGGGAGGAGACAAATACAACAGTTAACACAAGCAGGGGATTAAAATTAGGAAGATGCGAACAACCGGGAAGAAGAGTGACATAGTTGATCATAATCTTGGTAAGAAAACAAAGTTTACCAATGTAGGTGTAGTGTAAGAAGAAACTGTTTTTGTACACATAAAGGTGGTTCAAATTTGTGTACTGGTATGGCTTCCGCAAATCTCAGAATATGTCCCTGACTGTTTCTATATAAAACTTTGAAGTGTGCTTGAACATTAACTTTGTGACCTGTCTTTATCATATGTTTAGCTATAGATGAAGAAGGTCGTCTCCCACCAGCGTTTATCATGGTTTGAAATTCTATTTGTTGTTGAAGCCATTTAGGCAGATGTTCTTCCACCGTCAACTGCATGACTCGATTACTCCTCCCTATGTATGTGTTACCCCCCCACACACACACGCACAGAGATGTAAATTGGTAAACATAATGGAATGTGACGCAATCACTGATGCAGTGTTTAGGTTTGTGGGGGAAGCATGTGTTTTGTTTTCTCCACCATGGTAATTTTCGCCGCGTAATACGTTTTCTGAATGGTTGATGTTAGCCTACGTCTTAAAATGATAGTATTCAACACCCCTATGTATGGTAGAGTGATGTGGACATTTTTCTTAAGGACCGTGTATAGAGTTGGCTTCGGTGTGCTACTTGACCTGTATCTACAGCACGGTTTATAAACTTCATCGAATATCGATTTTGTATAAGTGTTTTGTTCAGTAATTTGATATCTTCATGCATCGTATGTGGTATAGTTATACGATAGATTCTATTAAACAGGCATTTTATCATACCTCGCTTGTATTGGATCGAACAGAATCTGTGAAAACTCATGTTATCGTCCTGTCCATGTAGGCTTTGTGTAAACTGACCGTGTTATTGAACCATCTCGTTGTCGACTGAAGAGTATGTTTAAGAATGGCAGATGATTATTATTGTCTTTCTCAGAAGTCAGGCTGATGTGAGTTTGTACGGTGTCAAGTGTTTTTAGTAGACAAAGCATATCTTCATGCCTCTCACAAATCACTATGATGTCATCAGCATATCTGTTGTAAAGAGGAAGTTAAGCGATGAGATCATCAGCGAGATTATCGATATATGACATATAAATAAAATATCAGCTAATAGTGGTCGTAAGGGACTACCCATAATTAAACGGTCAACTTGTTGAAAGCGTTCGCCTTCAAATTTGAAGTGGACTTTCTCGGTACACAGCAATAATAGCTCCTTCAGAAAGGTTGGAGTAATAGGAGAAATAGGAGGTTTTTCGAGGATATATAGTCACAGAGGAGGGGGATAGGCTGGATTGCGGAGAAGAACCTAGAAGACTTTGATTTCTACAGTGATGACTTGTATCTGATGTCGCAGAAACTTGAAGATGTACAGGCGAAAACTAAGAAGTTGTCAGAAGAGGCAGCGAAGACATGACTTGAAGTGAATGTAGTGTCGAGAAGAGAGAGGTGATGAAGATACCGAACCAACAACAACAGCAACAAGAAGCTGGAATCAGGAGTAAGGGGAGGAAGGTACAGGAAGTAGCCTCGTTGACCTATCTAAGCGGCACTGTTTCAACTACAGGCGGCACGGACGAGGATGTCAAAGCCAGCCAGGATCAGAAAAGCAAGTAAACTGACCGTCTTATTGACGAGTGAATTTTCCGCTATTATTAGGAGGCTATGATTGAAGTAAATATACTTTCAATGTTATCGGCTTCTTCTTCGTCTCAACTGAGTAGTATCATGTTATTGAGTAGTAAGTCATAGTTGTATTGTTAATTGTATCTATTTCATTGTATTTTTATTACTTTACAGAATGTTACTTAGTACTTCCTTGGTTGGTTCAATTATTGGTCGAGGTGGTCGAACTATTCGTCAGATTACAACAAAAACTGGCGCTAAAATAGGAATGAAACAGGATATTATTATATTTTCACAATTCTCTTTGCCAGGAAAAGGCAAGAAAACTTTCAAGTCTTTAGATTCTAACAACAACAACAACAACAATATTAGCAGCAACACCACTGCGTGTGCTGATCATCAACATGATGATGAAGTAAAGGAGAGAAAATCTCAAGTATCTGACACTAATAAAGATACTTCTGGTAGCCTTGATAACAATCCAGACAATAATGATGAACAATCAACAGAGTTGAGCGTAAATTTGAACACTGAATCTGAAGTCTTATCAACTACTACCACTACTACTACTACTACTACTACTACTGCTACTACTACTAGTAGTAGTAGTAGTATTAGTAGTACTAGTAAACTACTTCAATCTAAATTAGAAGTTCAATCAGATGAGAGTCAACTGGCTATACTTTATGGATCAAGGGAACAGTGTTCATCAGCATTATATGAAATTCTTACTATATGCTTTCGTGAATCAAAACATCGTGGTTTCTCTGATCCTTGTCTAGGCTTACTTGTTGAACAACAAATTTATGCTCAATTAATTATGAATAAAGGTAAAAAATACTTCAATGCTATACATTCTGCTACAGGAGCACGTATATCAGTAACAGGGTAAGTAGATATTTTCTCTTGTCAATTCATTATTTTAATAATTCCTATTGTAACATTAAGAACAAGATGATATTCAGTGAAGAGGTCGTCTTTTCAACGAATTTATTTTCAAGCTGTACATTCGTGTATATATATGATATTTGGAGAAAAAATTATATCCTATGAGGAAAACTAAACACTATATGATGATGATGACAATAATAATAGAGTGGATGATGATGACATAGGCATTTATGATTATAATAACACAATTGAAGTGTGAATGATAACAAATAGATTATTGTAGTATATGGAATGGTACATAGAGAGTATATAACTCGCAAGGCGGTGAAGAAATTGTTGAAAATGGTAAATCAATTATGTAATGGCATTAGACAAATTGGACAAGATGAAGTCAATGTTTTCTAAAAGGATTAAAACAATTAAGTGAAACAACACCGGAAACTAGTTGAAGTGAAGGCGATTATAATAACAATAATAGTGATAAAGGAAGGATACAAAGGTTAAATTAACAAAGTGTGTGGGGGGGGGAAGCTAATGGGGTGGGAAAATGTTATGGCCATGATAAAGACAGTGACTGCACATACTTCTTTTGCACACACACAGATCAGGTCTTAGTTCATGAATAGCTAAAGCCTCCGGTGTTTTAAGGAGTTGAAAACGAAGAGAACGTGGGAGGTTTGGGCGGATTTGATAAATAATTTTCTAAGTCAATCAAATATTCTAGAATCGAACTTCTAACAGACTTTCTTTCACCTTTATAAAACCAAGCAGGAACATGTTCTCGTATACGTGTAGAAAGCATTCTCTGGCTACGGCCGATGTACGTTGCTCCACAAGAGCAGGTGAACTGATAGATGCACATAGAGGCGGCCAAACGAGGAAGCTTGTCTTTGACGCAGGTGGAGAATAGGTTGCGGTCGGTAAAAGTCAACTGGAGTCTTGCTGCGAAGAAAGTCCTATTGATTGATCTGGTAAGACGATTCTTCAGTATATCCGATGCTAGGTCTCCTTTAAACTCTAGGCTCATAAACAATCTTTTCTTTTCAACAATTTTTTCACCCCCTTCTGAGTTATATACTTTCTATGTACCATTCCATATACTACAATAATCTATTTGTTATCATTCACACTTCAATTGTGTTATTATAATCATAAATGCCTATGTCATCACACGGTCGCGTGTACTGCACAGCAGTCCGGTCTATTCTACTATATGGCTGTCAAACATGACCATTGAAAGTGGAAGATATAAGAAGGCTTCAACTGTTTGACCACCATCGCCTTCGTGGTATAGACCGTATTCTGTGGTGTCACCACACCACATGAGTAATGCAGGTGTAGAGTTTTAGGGAGGGAGAACAGGTAAGTCGGTTGACGAGGTTGTGAACCTTCATCGATTGAGACGGTTGGGACACGTACTACGTATGCCTAGTCATCACCCATTACGTCGTCACACAAGGTTGGCTGAAGTAGGTCCAGGGTGGAAAAAGGCCCGAGGTGACGAGACTAAAACATGGCACCAATGTATGAAGTGTTTGACTGTTGGTTTGAGCCATGTAGGGGAGGGAGGGGGGTGGGACAACAGTAACCAGTGGTGGTTGTAGACTGTCTCTAGGTGATCATGTGGCTGACAACCGATGTGAGTGGTGCAGATGTATCCCCATGCACATTATCTTCATCTTGACGACGCTATACCGAATCTCACCATTTTGTCATTCCTCTTTTCTTTCTTCTCATACTTTATATTTCTTTTGACTGAATTTTCTTATCTTCATCTTTCACCTCACTACCTTTCTACTGGGTGTAGTGATGTGAGGTATAGGGGCAACTTGAACCTTTATGCAGTAACCCCTGGTCCTATGTTGATTTTAAGTGGTTGATTGATCATACTCAATTGTAAAAGGTCATTATTATTATATATTATGCAACCGCTAGTTGAGTAGTCCTATATGGAAGTATGATTCCATTGTGAAAAAAGTTGGATATTTCCTCCTCTCTATCAGAGATACACATCATAGTTTATAGAAGGAATTAAGATGTATATTTAAGAATGTATTATGATCACAGTTGATGGCCCTCTTGCCCTATCAGTCTAGTAAAGATCACCTTTCCTGTCTCATGAATTTAGAGGTGAAGGGAAGAGAGTATTTAGCAAGGAAAGAAAGGTGGTTAGCTTATGAACTTTCACTGACTGGAAGAAGGCTTAGACACATGTACTTCAAATGCCTTGATGTAGCATCTAAGAAGAGGGTTCAGGATGGTGGTAGTCTTGTACATTGAGTAGCTGACAAATCCCTAATGGGAGGAAACTGGACATTTTAAATATCATCACTAACCATTTATTTAATTGATTTATATTTTATTCTATCTAGTACACCACTTCAATTTCGTTCATGTTGTCATGATGGCGGTGATGGTGGTGATGGCGGTGATACAACCAATGATAAATTGAATATTACTACAACTGATCGAGTATTAATTATTCGTGGTCAATTAAATTCTATATGTGCTGCTGAAGCATATCTTAGTGAACAAATTCGTTGGGCAACAATTGAATCAATAATACCATCACAATTTTGGCCATTACTTAATTATTTACCTTATTCACCTTATTTATCAATAAATAATAAACAGTTATCGAAATCAATTAATAATTTATCATTTAATTATAATCCAAAATCTGTATGTTCATTAATTATGTCATTGGGATGTATATTTTGGCCTCAATCAGTATGTGCAAAACTTGGAAAAAATTCTACTCATCATCATCATAATAATAATAAACATTTTTTATCACACCATACAACTGACCAATCAAGAAACAATAATAATAATATCACATTACAAGATGATAATACAAAAGATACTCAGAATAACAGTATCAATTCAGGACACATGGATAAAGTTAATGATGAGGAGAATGATACTAATCACAGTGAAACACAAGACACTAAGCACAACAACAATGCCGATGATGATGATGATGATACAGATATGGATGGAAATAGTGATAGTGAAGTTGAAACTATCGTTTATACAAGTGAAACTGACTGTAAGATGATATCGAATGAATACATTGACAATACTAGTGATCTCGATTCAAATAACAATCATCTATCCACTCTGATCGACAGTCATATAGTTGATGATGATGATGATGATGATGACTACAATAGAACTACTGATTGTGTTCTACCATCCAATTTAGAAGATAAAGTCACTACTACTACTGCTACAGGGATGTCTGATGAAGAAAAGAGTAAACAAGGTATGTTTTATTCATATAACCATACTTTTCCATGTATAGTTTCTTTGTAATTCGAATAGATGCGTTGAACTGTCACCATTTCATATGTAAGACAGATAATTTAAGCATTGTCTGCAATTACTCCAAATTTAATGATCGATAATGAAGTGATGGGTGTCGACCATCACATAGTCAGTTGTTACCATCATCAATATCAACATAGGACCAGGTATTACTGCGTAACACTCCGAGTTGCCACACCTCATATCAGCACATCAAGTAAAAAGGTAGTGAGGTGAAGGATGAAGATAAGTGAATGCAGTCAAAAGAAATATAAAGTACGAAAAGAAAGGAAAGAGGAGTGACAAAGTGGTGAGATTCGGTATAGCGTTGTTAAGATGAGGATAATGTGTGTATACATCTGCGCCACTGACTTCGGTTGTGAGCCATATCGCCTAGAGCCAGTCTCCAACCACTGGTTCCTCTTGTCCCGCCGACCCCAACCACCTAGTCTGCATCGTCACCCCACATAGCTGAAACCAACAGTCAGAGACTTCATACATTGGTGCTATGTTTTAGTCTGGTCACCTTGGGGCCTTTTTCCAGCCTGGACCCACGTCAGCCAACATTGTGTGACGAGGTAATCGGTGACGACTAGACATACGTAGTACGTGTCACAGCCAACCATCTCAGTCGATGAAGGTTCAGCGTTACCATGTATTGTGTCATGAATAGGCTTTCATCTAGTTTTACCTTTTGATTGTTAATCATTGATTGGTATTTCTGGATTCGATGATGTACATCTGTGATCATCAATTGTACCATTTGTCTCCCATTTTATTCAGCTCTATTTTCTATCCCATTCGACAGTTAATTGGTGGTCTATATCTGACACTCTTCGGCAGGACATGTTGACGTTGGCCACTCATGGAGTGACCAATTCACTTTCTTGAGGAGTTGCGTCAGTTGCGATACAGAAGACATGACTGATATTTATCGACTTGTATCATTGTTGGCGTCGACTATCTATCAAATGACGAGTATACTGCCGTGCCAGTCTGTTATGTCTTCTTATACGACTGAGACATCGCCGTTGAATGAAGAGGATAAGAAACGGTTACAGGGTTTTAATTAAAAGTGTCTTCGCAGCATTACTTAACGTTTGGTTGAATCAATATGTCAACGATTTCGAGGTCAAGCGAAGAGTATTCAGCAAGGAAAGAAAGGTGGCTAGATAATGAACTTTCACTGACTGAGGACACTTAGACATGTACTGCGGATCCTGGGTTACTGCCTACTTCCACGTGTCATCCAAGAGGAAGTTAGATCATATTGGAAGAGGGTTGAGGATGTCCATACTGAGATGTAGCACCAGTCGATAAAGTCCCTGACTATTGGTGGTAGTCATGTAGAGGGGTATAGACCATCTGTCTGGGGTCCGCGAGACGACAGGAATCAGTGGTTGAGGGTTCTTGGTTGAAACCGCTGAAAATCACTTACTTGATCCAGATGTATACACCTCTTGACGTCGAAAGGTTGAATATTTTCACTAACTATTATCTTCAAGTTATATATTCTCTCCTACACCTTTTTCCATTTTGATATCAGTCTTTTTTTGTCTAACTGTTCTTTGTATACTACTATGCAGTGTGGTAACTTGTACTGATACACTTGGGTGCGATTCCCTAACTCCATCTTCGAAATCGTAGACTAGCAAACTGATAGGTCCTGCTGCTTTGCATCGTTTCAGGTCCGATATAGCTTCCTCAAAATCGAGATTTGGATGACTGACATCTACGTCACATTCAAGTTGAGACTGGATGTTGGAGTTGCTGTCGATCAGTTGAACTGAGCTTCAAAGTGTCCCATCCAACGTTCTAGTTCTCTATCCTGAAAGGTTATCCGGATTCAATCCTCTTCAGTGATGGTTTCACTGACCATCATCTTCTTGCCGGTATCCTTTATAAGCGTAAATAGTTGCTGGATGTGGCCCACCCTTAATGTCTTCTTCATCTCCATCTCTCTCACTCTCGCTACCCTACCACTATTCGCGATCATTGTGAAGACTCTTGATCAACCTACATTTACAGACAAAGCCAGTTGGGATCAGTCTTCTCGCATCAGTCAGTTAGTTCCGATGACGTCGCAGAAATTCAATGACGTTTCCTGTCCTTTGGGTCTAGGCGACCAATTGTCTCGTCTTCCAATCGAGGTTAGACAAGCTTTACTATCATCTGTTTCCTGCAACGACTAGTAAGGCGCAGATATACTAACGCGTGATAGCTTATAGCAATATGATCTATCTGTGTCCATCGTTGGTATGATGCTTAGGGGGGACCCAAGTGTTGGGCAGAATGAACTGGTTGTTGGAAAGTTCTAAGAAACGATCACTATTGTAGGGTTAGTTAGCATAGGATTCCGTAAATATCTCCAAGATGCCTCTCTGATTGGTTGAACTTCCTTATTTGAGCGTTGAAGTCATCTGTCATTATGACTGAATCTGAACGTTTTGCTTTGCGTAGCAAAATCGACAACTCTTCATATAATTTATCCCTTGCATCATGCAAACTGCTGTTGGTTGGTGGGTTAACAGAGATTACGAATAGACATCAGCCAGTTTAACTATCATTTCTAGTTATAAAAGATTCATTCAGTCGAACAGCAGAGAGAGAGAGAGAGATGACTGCTGTCTGGTATCCTTCAGCTCAGTCCTATGTCTACATCAGCGAGTCAACGAATGCCAACCACTGAATCTGTGGATACTCTTGAAGTGATGGCCAGCTGACGTCAATTTAATAACGGCACTTTTGTCCTGTATACGTATGTCACAGGCATAGCGTGGCATCTATGGCTAGAGATTCCAGGGTTTTCGGGTGGGGATGCTGGCGATTTGTCATAGAATTTGGATGTTGAATGCTCCCACATGAAATCGATGATGGGGTCTTAGGAATGAGATTTCAATGGCTTCGATCACTAGCAATAGTTGCAGAATAAGAAGTTGAGTAAGGCGTCAGAGGTTTAATATTAGTATCAGAGGTCGAAGGCAGAGGGGAGAGACAAAATTGTGGGAGGATAGGTTGTGTTTGATTGTGTCTCGAGTGTACTACTGAAAGTTTGCGGGCAGTTGACGCTTCGTGATTGCCCACACTATAAAAGACTATTTCTTTTTGAGGTACGTGACAGCAGAGCTCATGGAATATCTGCTTGAGTCCTATCACACACCGAATGTTGTTTTGATGTTTTGTTGTTCGAACGCTGGATAGAAGAAACCCTTGTCACCAGCTCTGGAAGACAGTGAAGCAGATGGAGTGAGTTATTTTTGGCTCCGACCTTTTCTTAACCCCCTCTTAACATGGGAAAAGGCAGTATCAGAGTCGCACTGCTGTCACATCTCACATCCAACTAGCAGGTGTACGACTTCGCCCTTGGACATTCATCACTATACTACAATGGTAACTGCTTTTCATCCTATCGCTATCCAACAAACCTTTCTGATATAGTAAGACCTTGAGAGGGAACAAGCATCCCATCAACACAGCTCGTTGGTTCATTGTAATATGCAAGCCTGATCATCACATCAAAGTAGTAGTTATCGATTGCGACTAATGAAAAAACTTCTGATTGGTCAATTAAGCTACTAATCTTAAGCATACAGGTGTATAAATGTCATGATCGTTGGCTTGCAGCGCATATCACAGTGTTCATGCTCCAAAGACCTGAATGGAACTGCGCTGCTCTTTACAAATTAAACTTTTCATGCGTTTCTAAGTGCCTTGTGCATTATGGCATCAGTCAATATGCTTAGACGTTATCGTTAGCACTAATACTGTAGTTATCATTATCTACTGTAAATGGACAGATTCTTCTTAAAGATGCGTAAAACAATATCATTTTTCCAGATTAATTGAAAACTGCTAGTTTGTCGTGGAATTTCGGTTCAACCGGTTTTAGACAGTTGACTTTCAACTAATCATGAGTCACAAGTTCGAAGCCTGTTTCTTAACTTACTGAAGTTTGAACAGCAGCTAGATAGTAGTTTCATCAGCTAGACCTCATAAAACAATATTATCAGTTATTACTACTTATTGATAAGCAGCTTATAATTCTTCGTTGTTTTCTTAGATCGAATTGTTCGACCTCTGTTGGTATATAGGATCCTATGCGAATGCCTCGATATTGTTTGAATGTGTGTGTGTGTGTGATATCTGCTTGTCTATTAACGGTCGCGTGTACTGCGCATGCACAACAGTCCGATCTGTTCTACTATATGGCTGTGAAACATGGCCATTGAAAGTGGAAGATATGAGAAGGCTTCAACTGTTTGACCACCATCGCCTTCGTAGTATAGGACGTATTCTGTAGTGTCACCACACCATATGAGTAATGCAGGAGTCAGGTGTAGAGTTTTAGGGAGGGAGAAGAGGTAAGTCAGTTGACGAGGTTGTGAACCTTCATCGATTGAGATGTTTGGCTGTGACACGTACTACGTATGTCTAGTCGTCACCGATTACCTCGTCACACAATGTTGGCTGAGGTGGGTCCAGGCTGGAAAAAGGCCCGAGGTGACGAGACTAAAAGATGGCACCAATGTATGAAGTGTTTGACTGTTGGTTTGAGCCATGTAGGGGAGGGGGGTCGGTGGGACAAGAGGAACTAGTGGTGGTTGTAGACTGTCTCTAGGTGATCATGTGGCTGACAACCGATGTGAGTGGTGCAGATGTATCCCCATGCACATTATCTTCATCTTGACGACGCTATACCGAATCTCACCATTTTGTCATTTTGTCCTTTCTTCATTCTCTTACCTTATATTTCTTTTGACTGCATCCTCTTATCTTCATCCTCCACATCACCGCTTATCCTTCTTTACTTCATGCAGTGATATGAAGTGTGACAAGTTGTACCGTTACTCAGTAATGCCTGGTCCTATGTTGATGATGATGATGATGATGTTTGAATGTTAATGAAGGTAGTTTGTTAAGTTGTGACTAGCAGAAGACTCCATAGCGGGCGTTTTGTCCTACTTGAGACTCATCAACTGAATATACCTGCACCCCAGTGCAGAGTGATGTTATTCTCACTGAGAGTGGAACCTTGTAGCCATCGCTTCAAACGCCAAGGCGTTATCCAGTAGACCACTGAGGCACGATAACCACTGCTTGATATACTTCGAATTTACCGTTGTTTTATTGGATTGAATTGTTTGACGTCTACACGTTGTACAAGAAGTGGTTATCGTTCCTCCGTGGCATAGAGGATAACGCCTTAATGTTTGAAGCTCGATGAATACAAGGTTCTACTCTCAGTGGTAAAAACATCACTCACTGAGGTGCAGATGCATTCAGCTGACAAGTGAGTCCTAAATAGGACAAAACGGTCGTCCTGGATTCTTCTCCTAGCCACAACCAAACAAATTACTTTAATATAATCAGTCTTTCACTTCTGATCTTAGAAATAACCAAGGATATAAGTTATCGGGATTGGAGTGAATTACTACGCTTTAGGAAAGCATCAGAAGAGGCAGCGAAAACGGGACTTCAAGTGGATGTAGAGAAGACAGATGTGATAAAGTTACCCAGCCAACAACAGCATGAACAAAAAGCACGAATCACCACCAACGGAAGAAATCTAAAGGAAGTAGTCTCTTTCACCTGCCTACCTACCTAGCAGGCAGCATCGTTTCAACTACAGGTAACCAAAGCACACATGAAGATGTCAAAGAGAGGATCGAGAAGACAGCAAGACAGGCCTTTCTTCGTCAATCTGAAATCAATGTGGAGATCGACTGCGCTGCACTCAGCATGTGGAACAAGATTCGGATTTTCAACATTAAGTCAATCGAGTCAATGCTTCTATGTGATGGTTGACAGACTTGGCGCGACATAAAAAGCATTTTCAACAAATTACAGACATTCACTAACAGCTGCCTACGTTGGTTAGGATGCAGACCAGATGGCCAGAATAATAAGAATAAGCAAGGAGGAATTCTGGCCTGGCAACGAACTAACCAACCAAGAACCTATCGCCCAACAAATATGCACTGGAAGGAAGTGGAGGTGGATTGGGCATACACTGAAGAGACTATTTGGGGGGATATTACGACTCAGATCAGGCCGTCGAGTGGAATCCACAGGGGAAACAACTAGTTAGGTGTCCGAGACAAGGATGACATGGAGGAGATCATAGGAGGAAGAAATAAAAGCTTCTGGGCAGTCGTGGAACCAATCAATATCAACATAGGACCAGACATTACTGCGTAACCCTCCCGGAGTTGCCACATCTCATATCACTACTTCAAGTAGGAAGGTAGTGAGCTGAAGGATGAAGATAAGAGAATGCAGTCAAAAGAAATATAAAGTATGAGAAGAAAGAAAAGAGGAATGACAAAATGGTGAGATTTGGTATAGCGTCGTCAAGATGAAGATAATGTGCATGGGGATACATCTGCACCACTCACATCGGTTGTCAGCCACATGATCACCTAGAGACAGTCTACAACCACCACTGGTTACTGTTGTCCCCCCCCACCCCTCCCCTACATGGCTCAAACCAACAGTCAAACACTTCATACATTGGTGCCATGTTTTAGTCTCGTCACCTCGGGCCTTTTTCCACCCTGGACCTACTTCAGTCAACATTGTTTGACAAGGCAATCGGTGACGACTAGGCATACGTAATACGTGTCACACCCAGCCATCTCACTTGATGAAGGTTCATAACCTCGTCAACTGATTTACTTCTACTCCCTCCCTAAAACTCTACACCTGACTCCTGCATTACTCACTTGATGTGGTGACACTACAGAATACGGTCTATACCACGAAGGCGATGGTGGTCAAACAGTTGAAGCCTTCTCATATCTTCCACTTTCAATGGCCATGTTTCACAGCCATATAGTAGAACAGATCGGACTGTTGTGCATGTGCAGTACACGCTACCCTTAGTAGACAAACCAGGTTTAAAAGAATGTAGAAGAGAGAGTGAAATGGCGATGTGCTACTTAAGTCCTATATTCCACTAGAAGGAACTCAAGGGATAAATATGAATAACGCTTTAGAACTATAACTTAGCGATATACTTTTTCAATGTAAAAATGACATTGTTGAAAGTACTAAATAGAGACATACGTCGTAATGGGAGTAGTAGTTATTCTAGCCTCCTTTTTCTATGAATATTTATATAGATTGTCGTATTATGCATCTTCAGTGATAGTTCCCATTTCACATTGACTTTCTCTTCTCTTCTCCAGTTATTGTATCACAATCATCAGTATATTATAATTACATTGATTCAAATGAAAAAAAATTGTATAAATTAGATGAAAGTAATTCTTTTGATCAATGTACAAGTTTAACCTTACCACCAACAGAAATTAATCTACTTATGTCGACTGCAATTCAACAATCTTTAATTGCTGCTGTTGGTCCAATCGCTTGGTTAGCTACTGGAGGTGTACTTTATATGCGTGTCTCATATAATGAAGCTGGTGCATTAATTGGTACCGAAGGATGTCGTATACAACAATTAATGCAAATCACTGGAGCTGAAATACATATTGGCAAGGTTAGATAGTATTCTTCATTATTGAAGAGTTTTGATTACATGGTTAGAATTCTATCGATGACATAATTCCTTTTTTTCTGTCCACCTGTTGTTGATATTTTTGTCAGTAATCACGGCGAGAGAAGTATCAACTGTGATTGGTCAGTTTAGCCGTGAAATCACTAACTGGAATCCTTGGCTTAATTCAGAATAAGCAAGTGGGATAGCGTCTTAAACCCACTCCCTTCTTATACTGGGTGTTGTTTCTACGTAGACGTGTACGTCGCTGCTAAGCTCCTCTACTACTTACCAACTGTGCTGTGCCTCAGAAATCTAAAGAGATGATTTTCAACCTCTTGGATCACAGGTTTGAGCACCGCTCCACCTACACTGAGATCAAGACAGCCAGACGTAGTATCACTAGCTCATTGCCTAATTCACTAGGTTGTCTACAAGACTACTCACAGTATTTTGATTCTATTCGACTCGATTTGTTGAATAACAGAGTAGCAAGATAAAGAATGAATGAACAATTGGCCAGAGAGCAGTGAGTCATATATTCACCATTGAGTCTCCAACCTCTGATTCCTATTGTCACATAGATCACCGCCTATAATCATTTTACAGCCTAAACATACTTCAGATAATATTGTGCGACGAAGCAGACGATGAGTCATCATCATCAATATCAACATAGGACCAGACATTACTGAGTAACGGTCCGAATTGCCGCACCTCATATCAGTACATCAAGTGAAAAAGCACTGAGGCGCAAGATGAAGATAAGAAAGTTCAGTCAGAAGAAATATAAAGTACACAAAGAGAGAGAAAGGGATACATCTACGCTACTGACATCGGTTCTCAGCCATAATACATCACCTACAGTCAGTTTTCAACCACTAGTTTCCTTTGTCCCGCCAACGACAACCGCTCAGTCTGGATAGCCCCCCCCCCCTTACGCGGCTCAAACCAACAATGAGGGACTTCATACACTGATGTCATGTTTTAGTCTGGCCGCCTCGAGCCAACAGCCTTTTTACAATCTGAACCGACTACGACTAACATTGTATGACGAGGCAGATGGCCATTAAGCGCATACCTGACACATGTCCCAGCCAGTCAGCCATCTCACTTCATCAAGGTTGACAACCTCATCAACTGACTTACCTCTCCTTCTTCCCTAAAACTCTACACCTGACTTCTGCGGTACTCACGTGGTGTGTAATACGGCCCATACTACGAAGGCAACAATCGTCAAACACCTGAAACCTTCTTATATCTTTCACCTTCAATGGTCATGGTTCACAGCCATACAGTAAAACAGACCGGACTGCTGTGCAGTACACGCGACCCTTAATGGACAAACGGATATCACGGCGGCACCATAGCTGGCGTAAGTTGGCGGAAGCCAATCGAGCCTTATGTATCCGTGCCGAGATTTCGTCGGCAGTTGAACCACCAGGCCTGATCCGACTTGCTAGGTAAGTGGAGTGGTCAACACACTCAAGCAAAACACTGACTCTCTATTGTTAGCCGTGGCGGGGCACCGTTGAACACTAATCGATGAGCAACAATTTGCATTTCCGTGGTGAGAAACGCATCCCAAACATTCTCAAATTCCCACTGAAAGTGTTGAGAAGACTCTGCATCTTGTCAGTGTCTTCACCCCTAACACAATTATGTGATCTGCATATTCTGGGTGTAACGAGAATTCTCCTGCGATTAGATCAAAGTCTGTGTAAGCTGGTGACGACAGGGAGACCTCCACAAGAATATCTATGATAAAATTGAATAAGAACGGAGACAATGGGCATCGTTGATGGACACCACTCGATGAGCATAGCTCCCTGGACATTTCACCACAGGGGCTGTAACGTACCAAGAAGTGTTCGAGTAGAGAGTGTTCAATAAATAAGGTGATGTACTTAGTTGACACGCCTTTCAGTGAGAGACATTGCCATAAGACTTCTGGATCAACGGAGTTGAATGCCGACGCCTCCAGATCGATAAATACTGGTCATGTTGGACGTTAGAAAGTGTGTCTGTGTAGTAGAAGTTGGTGCAGTGTGAATATTTGGTCAATATACCGGTGACCGGGTCTAGAGCGTGTCTGGTTTTGTCTGGCTTGCTGTTTCACGAGCTGCACTCAGGCGTCGAGCAATTATAGAACCTAGGATGTTGGACACTATGTTCATGAGACTGATTCCCCTGTGGTTATCACAAGAGGATTTCTCGTTTTTGTAGAAGACTGGAATAATGAGTGATTCAAAGGAGTCAGAGAGGATCGTATTTAATTCCCATATACTAGTTAATACTTCCATTAACCTGACTAAAAGCACCTTACCGTCATCCTTGTATACCTCAGCAGGTAGTCCGTCTGGTCCTGCCGCCCCTCCTCGTTTCAGGTTACCTGCAGCTTTCTCGACTTCTCCTAGTGTTCGGGCGGGGGGGGGGGAAGCCTGCGTGGATAGCTCTCCCCTCTGCCGGGAATCGAACCCGGTTACTAAGCGTACGTAACATGTATCCTAGACATCTAAATTGATAAAGGATCACAACTTTGTGCATTAACTTTCCTCTCCTTCCTGAAACTCTACATATCTGACTTCAACATTATTCACCTGGTGACACCACGACACGCTGCCTATGCTACGAAGGTAACAGTGGCCGAACGCTTGAAGCTTTTTCATGTCCTCTACCTTTAATAACTATGTATGGACTAAAAAATAGTACACTCGACTCTTAATTAGGCAATCGGATATTGTATGGTAATGTAATTTAGCAAAATCCAATCCAATTCAGTTTTTTTTGTTACCCATATGGACGTTTCATCGGTCGCATTGACCCACTGGGACGCAATCATATTTACTAAACTGACTAACGGTTGTTATTTCTTATAATTAGGGGTTGATTCAAAGGTAGTTAGTTAGGTGATATGACTGAGAACCGATGTCATTGGCGCAGATGTATCCCCCCCCTCACACACACACACATTATCCTCATCTTAACGACGCTATACGGAATCTCACCATTTTCTTATTCTTCCTTTCTCTAGTTGAGTACTTTATATTTCGTTCGATTGAATTTTCTTTTCTTCATCTTCCACTTCACTGCTTACCCTTCATTGCTTGGTGTATTGATATGAGTTGTGGTAACTCGGACCGTTAGTTAGTAATGTCTGGTTCTATGTTGCTTTGGATGGATGGATGAAGTTCCAGTGTGAAGTTTTGTAACCGAACATAAAGACAGTTACTGAACGGCAGCATTGGATGGAGATAGAGCTATATTCTGAGCTGACAGTAGTTGGAAATATGGACTATTAGGTTCCGGCCCAGTAGTTCAATGGTAATGACTTGGTCACAGAACCTGAAAGTCGTGGCTTCGATCCCTGGTAGGGTGGGATCATACATGCGTACTGCTGAGGAATCGCATACTAGGATGAAACAGCTGTTATTCAGTACTCCCAAGTTTCCAATGTTTCTCTAACTGATGTCAGTCTATAATAAATTCCAATCTGAAAGCAATAATTCCTCAAACCTCCAAATTGCTCTACATAAGAATCCGACGCATAACTTGACCTTGAGAGAATCATGCAGTTTTGAAACACAGGTACGCTTACCGTCCATTGACACTTACCATTTTGCTTAACCTAAAGGTGGTATCCTACTCTGTCGACTATGAAGTGTTGTGGTATTGTCTGACTGCTTCATGAATAGTACCGAGCAAGTATGTAACACTAATGAAAGCTGTCTACTGGAACTCATGCAACCGTGTAAGGACTTATGAAGATTGACCATATGAATTGACGTCAACTAAGTGGTGCATGCCAGAGATGTTGACTGTCAGTGTTCCTATTTAACTTTGTCATGCACGTACTAATGGACATAACCTTCAATACATTTGATGATTTGAGTGATGGAGGTACTACGTAGTGTATGAGAATTAGAGATTGTCCCTTCAGACTGGTGTACTTCACTGACCATCTAAGTTTATAAGAAGGAGGAGAAATCTTGTGATAGCTAAAGGGGAAATCAGTTTGACTAATATTGTGTCCAAGATGCTGGAGTCCGACGCGTAACTGGGGCTCGAGAAATCCAGATAGCTTTCAGATGGGACTGGACGAGGATACATGGATCATAATTCCTCCCTCCGACAGGTTATGGAACACAGGTATGCCTACCGGCCAATGGCCGACACTTACCATATTTACTGACCTGAAGGCCATCATCATCCATCCAGATCAACCTAGAACCAGGCATTATACTGCGTAACCCTCCGAGTTGCGACACCTCATATCACTACATCAAGTGAAGAAGGATAAGCAGTGAAGTGGAGGATGAAGGAAAGAAATATAAATTATGGAAAGAAAGAAGGGGAGGATGACAAAATGGTGAGATTCGGTATAGCGTCGTTAAGATGAGGATAATGTGTGTGTGGGGATACATCTGCCCCATTGACGTCGGTTTTGAGCCATATCACCTAGAGTCAGTCTCCAACCACCTAGTCTCCATCGCTCTACATGGCTGAAACCAACAGTCAAACACTTCATACACTGGTGCCATGTTTTAGTCTGGCCACCTCGGGCGTTTTCCAGCCTTGACCTACTTCGGCGAACATTGTGTGATGAGGTAGTCGATGACTCGGCATATGTAGTACTTGTCCCAATGATCTCAATCGATGAAGGTTTATAATATCGTCTACTGATTTACCTCTGCTTCCTTCCTTAAACTCTATACCTAATTTCTGCATTACTCACCTAATGTGGTGACACCACGGAATACGGTCTATACTACGAAGGCGATGGTGGTCAAACATCTGAATCCTTCTCATGTCTTCCACCTTCAATGGCCATGTTTCACAGCCATATAGTAGAACAGACCTGACTGTTGTGCATGTGTAGTACAGGCGAGCCCTAGTACACCATCGGATATCACGGTGGCGTTAGTTGGCAAGAGCCAATCGAGCTTTTTGTATCCGTGCAGAGATTTCACCGTCTACTGAGCCATCACGGCTGATCCTGAAGACAGGATTTGACTGTATTGACCTTCAGGTGTTGTGTCAGTGTCTAAGTGAAAGGAGTACTGACCATCGACGTACTATTTATGGACATAATCTTCAGTACATTTGACTTCACACAGAATAGTTAGTCTACTTCCTTAAGGTGTATTGTATCAATTTGGATTGATAATTGTGTATTTTTGAGATGAATGGGGATTTTTAATTTAAGAGTAGTATTCATCATGGACTGACATGAGTTGGGGAACCATTGAAAATCTAGGAGTACTGGACATCTGTTTCGTCCTAGTATAAGATTCCTCAGCATAGGTTGAAAATTGTTAACCATTAGAAACCGACCCAGTAGCTGAATGATTAATAGGTTCTTTGTGAAACCTGAAAGTTCTGAGTTCAATCCCTAACCGGATTATGGATGCCTATTGCTCAGAAGTCGCTTACTAGTTGGACGAAACAGTTGCTGTCCAATGTTTCCCCCAACTAATGTCAATTCATAATGAATAGTACTTCTAGTAACTATATATTGTGTAATGTGTTTGTTTATTTTTTTTCTAAAGGTTTCAATTAGTCCACCATATGCAATCAATTCTAACACCTTTAAACATGTTCATTCAACAACACGACGTATAATTGATAGAAAATCATCAGAATGTTGTATTCCACTTGCTGACTCCTTTTTAATAAAGGATAATAATAATAATAATAATGATCCTAATAGTCATATTATAGAGAATAATGAATTATCATCTTCAACAACCATGGATATTATTCAAAAGGATACTGAAATGAATAAAGACAAAGAGATCAGTATAAAAGAAGTCTATATTGATAATCAATTATTAATGAATACTAATCGAGAGAATGATGAGTCTAGTATTCTTGTTGAATGCACAGAAACATCATCTTCAACTCCTCCTCCTTCTCCTTCTCCTTCTCCTCCTACCTCGTCTACTCTCTGCCATGTTAATAATGATAATAAAATGAAGATGGTAGAAGTAGTAGAAGTTGAAACATCTACTAATCAATTATCATATATGAATCAATCTGAAATATCTTGTCAAGAGAAAACGATTGAATTAGAACCTACACCAGCACCACCACCACCAGCATCATCAAGTCAATCATCCTATCGTTTGATTACATTATCCGGTTCTGCTCAATCTCAAATTATGGCACAATGGCAAATATTTCAACGTCTTAAAAATTTGAATAAGAAACAAGTAAGTTTTTTTTCTCTCTCTTTTCTTCTTTATTTCTTCCATTTTACTCGATTTTTAATTAGAAATATCATATAGACAATAAAGGAATAATATAAGTAACATTTTAACATACTATTCGGATCACTGTCCCAGACTTAATAGATTAATGGATAGATGGTGGCTAACAGTGGAATTCAAGATGCATATTTCGTCCTTTTTCGAGACTCGTCAGCTGGATGTACTAGCCTCCTAGCGTTCCCATTCGGATTCGGACTTGACCATTGACCTATTTCTCTTTACATCTTCATCTCCTATTTTATTCAGATCAGGTATGGCAACTTCGACCGTTGGTTATGCATGCAGTAAAATGCCTGGCTACTCCTACCTATCTTCATCTTGATGATGATGGAGTCGATGAACATTCTCAAGCTTATCAACTGACTCAATGATAGGCAAAAGCATATCCAGTTCAATGTAAATTGTGGAAAGTTTACTATCTGTATCCCCTAAAATAATTTTGTCAACAGATCATTCATCATCACCGTCAGTTCATCAAGTAGAAAGGTAGTGAGGTGAAGGATGAAGATAAGTGAATGCAGTCAAAAGAAATATAAAGTACGAGAAGAAAGGAAAGAGGAGTGACAAAATGGTGAGATTCGGTATAGCGTCGTCAAGATGAGGATAATGTGTGTGGGGATCCATCTGCACCACTGACATCGGTTGTGAGCCATATCGCCTAGAGCCAGTCTCCAACCACTGGTTCCTCTTGTCCCGTGGACCCCAACCACCTAGTCTGCATCATCCTACATGGCTTAAACCAACAGTCAGAGACTTCATACATTGATGGGTTGACTGCTTTGACTTATGTACTTGGCCTCGCAATCATTACAAGGGATTTGGTAAACCAGAATATTCTGCTTAATTGCCATTATTACCCCTTTTCACTTAAAGTAGGCCTAGTTAAATGCTTGAGTGGTAGAGGGAAAAAGTTTACTAGTAGACGAGAAAATCTGCGAAAATGAAATTAGACACATCAAGAATACCCTACGTCTCAATAATTACCCACTAAAATTTGCAAATAAATCCATAAGAAATCGGGGAAAAAAATATTAGGAGTGGTACTAGTAGTAGTAATACAGGTGTTATTAATAATAATGCCACTACTAATGGTAATAATGGGGACACAGGGTTAAGAGAGAATTCAAAACCTCTGCTGTGTTACCTACAAAACAAGGAAGGCATCTCAGAAACATTACGAAGAATTCTCAATAAGGCTGACTGGGATTAAAGTGGCATTCAAACCAACCAACTCGCTTAGAAACAAGCTTTGTAGGTTAAAACATCCTATTGATGCAATTAATCAAAATAGTCTGGTTTACCAAATTCCTTGTAATGATTGCGAGGCCAAGTACATAAGTCAAAGCAGTCGACCATGCAGGGTCGATTAGAATAACACAGCACAAAAACGCTAAGCTAAAACAAGATTAGTAGATCGTAATAAGATAAGAAATCTAGAGAAAAGCTCAGTTATTGCTGTGTATGCGATGACACACAATCACACAGTAGGGTGGGATAGGGCGACAGTGTGTTGTAGACTAACTTAGTTGGGTGGAGGGGAGGGAATAAGAGATCGACAATCGACTGAATCTTTGTTTATCGAATCAACACCAAATACATGCAGTAATAGAAATGATTCTGCAGCTGTTCCAGATATATGGGAGATTCTACTACCCTTGTCATCACAGAGAAGGAGAGAAATTTAGGAATATACAAAGCTTGTCTCAAAGTTGTCATGGAGTTATCAGCTGATGTGAATATGGACAATAAATTGTGTCCGAAACGATGTTATCCAGTAAATGATACTGTTCCTTCACTGTGTGATATTTTTAATGAACAGACTAAAATGGAATTAAAATCGACCACAGTGCCCATGTTTTACTCGTATATAAACTTGTTTGTTTTTCAACTACTTTTTTCCTAAATAAAAAAAGGTGGGGGAGAAATCGGGAAAAAAATATTAGGAGTGGTACTAGTAGTAGTAATACAGGTGTTATTAATAATAATGCCACTACTAATGGTAATAATGGGGACACAGGGTTAAGAGAGAATTCAAAGCCTCTGTTGTGTTACCTACAAAACAAGGTAGGCATCTCAGAAGCATAACGAAGAATTCTCAATAAGGCTGACTAGGATTAAAGTGGCATTCAAACCAACCAACTCGCTTAGAAATAAGCTTTGTAGGTTAAAAGATCCTATCGATCCCATTAAGCAAGATAATCTGGTTTACGAAATCCCTTGCAATGATTGCAAGGTCAGGCACATAGGTCAACGCAGTCGACCAGGGTCGGTTAGAATAACACAGCACAAAAACGCTAAGATAAAAAAAGATGAATAGATGATAATAAGATAAGAAATTTAGAGAAAAGCTCAGCTATACCTCTGTTTGTCTTTCAATTACTTTTTTCCTAAATAAAAAAAGTGGGGGGGGGGGTAATTGATGCATTGTGTTGCTCTGTTGATAAAATTGTCTTAGGGGATACAGATAGTAAACTTTCCACAGTTTACATTGAACTGGATATGCTTTTGCTCATCATTGAGTCAGTTGATAAGCTTGAGAATATTCATCGACTCCATCATCATCAAGATGAAGATAGGTAGGAGTAGCCAGGCATTTTACTGCATGCATAACCAACGGTCGAAGTTGCCATACCTGATCTGAATAAAATAGGAGATGAAGATGTAAAGAGAAATAGGTCAATGGAAGTAGAAGTAAAAAGTAGTTAGAGAGAGGAAGGAAGTATATCACCACGGACATCGGTTCTGATTCATATCGTCACCTACAGTTCAGTCCCGTGGACTCCAACCGGCTAGTCTGCATCGCCCTACATGGCTTAAACCAACAATCAATTACTTCATACATTGATGCCATGTTTTTATCTAACCACCATAAGCCTTTTTCCAACCTGAACGTACTTCGACCAACATTGTTTGACAAGGCAGATGGTGATTAGGCATACGTAGCAAATGTCCCAGCCGTCTCAGTCGATGAAAGTTCAACTGTCTTACCTCTCCTACCAAAAACTTTACGTCTGACTTCTGCGTTACTCATGTAGTGACACACCGAAACACGCCCTATTCTACGAAGGCAATACACGAGGCCTTCTCATGCCTTCTACCTCTAATGGCTGTTTCACAGCCGTAGAGTAGGAGAGAGCGGACTGCAATACAATACACTTGTTCCTTAATAGGTAGTGGGGCATCGTATTGGAGCCAAGCGTGGCGTAAGTTGGCAAAAGCCAACCAAGTCTTTTGTATCGATGCAGAGATTTCGTCGGCCACTGACCAGCGCACCAGGATTGATCTGACTTCCTAGGTAAGTTAAGTGTTCAACGCAGTCAACTACTTCACTCTCTATTGTTAGTCAGGATACCGTTGAAGACGAGTCCTGGAGCAATGATATGCATTTGGGTGGTCAGAACCGCATCTCAAACATTCTCAAATTGCCACTCAAAGTGTTCAGAAGACTCTGCATCTTGTCAGCGTCTTCACTTAACAGGACTATGTGATCTGCATATTCTAGGTCTAACGAAAATTCTCCTTGTGATTAGGTGAATCTTTATGTAGTTGGATGTCGAGAAGGAGGCCTCCATAAGAACATTGATGATAAAATTGAATAGGTGACTCGGATGTGTACTGTGCATGCCGAACTACTCACTGCCTACCTTGATGTGGAATGCTAAGCGAAGTTGGATCAGGTTGAAAGAACGTTCATAGTAGCCAGACTACACCGTGGAAGGCTATTTCTTCTTAAGGTACCTGAAAGAGATTTGTGTGACCGCACAGCCCATCGAACATCTGCTTGAGGCCTGTCACACGAAGCCTTTTGAGCATGATTATTTTGAACTTTTGTACTTTTGGGGCCGGATGGTTTAAAGGAAACGACGAGTGAATCAACACCTCCTGCCCGGCAGACCGTGGGGTATGGTGTAGTGTGTTATTTTTGGGGCTGACCTTTTCTAACCCCTCCCCCTCCCACTGAGAAGGCAGGCAGCATCAGCATGGCACTGCTGGTCATTGGAAGGGAAACACCTCACTGCTGTCCACTCCATCTAGCTAGCAGTAGTACGACCTCGTCTTCAGACCCTATCATAGTGTAGCAATTTACACCACAACGGTAACTGCTTTTCATCTAACCACTATCCAACAGGCCTTTCTGATTATGGTGTGACCTCGAGGGAACAAGTGTTCCACCAGTATAGCTCGTTGTGTCATTGTGATATGCAAGCCTGACCACCAGGTCGAGATAGCAGCTATCGGTCGGGCAACATCGAGGAGAGTTGAAGGATGAACCAGTACATCCTATATTCAGGTTTGAACTGAAAGCTTGGTGACTAAAGCGTTACTGTGAGTCAGTTGAGCTGTGTTGCATCTGTTTGCTGTGATCAGTACGGTACAGATGTACGCTTGTCCATACTAACGCGTGATTGATTAGATTTCGAACTGGTACTTCATAAAGAGCGACAATCTAACGACGATTTATACCAATGTGACCTATCTGGTGTCTATTGTTGGTTTGATTTCGGGAGATGTCATTGAAGACAATGTCTCTCCTTATGCCGAAAGTTAGTGCTGGTCAGAGAAAAGTGATTGTCGGAACAAAATTGCAATAAACCATCACTGTTGTCGGTTTGCTGGCATAGGGTTCCCCATTTACCTTCAAGATTCCTTACCAATTGGCTCTACTTCCCTACTTGAGCGTTGAAGTTACCTGCTATTATGACTGCATCTGAACGTTTTGCTTTTTGTGGCAAAGTTGACAGCTTTTTCATAGAATTCATCCTTTACATCATCGAAATTACAGTGTGTTGATGGGTTACTAGAGACCACGAATAGGTGTCGGCTAGTTTAATTATCATTTGTAGTTGTGAAAGATCCATTCAGCCGAACACCGGAGAGACAGACGGCTGTTGGCTGGTATCCAGCGGTGAAGCGCACTTTTTGTCCTTCAGGTCAATCTTATGTCTACCCCAAGGAGTCCATGAGAGGTGGCCATTGTATCTCCGGATACTCTTGAAGTGAATTTTGACGATTTACTCGATGACCAGCTGAGGTCAATTTAATAACAACACTTGTGTACTGTATACATGTCTCAGAGACACAGTAGACATCCATGGTTAGACATGCCAAAGTTTTGGCTTGGGATACTCGCTGTCCGATTTGGCATAGTGTTCGGATGTTTGGGACTTAGGGCAGCGGCACCAATTGAAAGAAGCAGAAAGACAGGTACGAAGGGAGGAATGTTGATTGTCAACAAGTGGGACAGCAATCCCTTAATTATGGTACACCTTGCATTAAAACCGTCATTTGCAAAATATGCTTCATTTCCTCTTCTGCGTCTTTCTTGGTTTGCTCTTCATACCTCTGTCTTGTCTCTTGCGTTTCGCTTGGCGCAATCCTTACCGATTGCTGGTAAATACCTATGATTTTTGCCACTCTCCCAACATATACTACTTATATCCATTGTTATCAGCAACACCCACTACACTATGACCTCAACTAATTATAAAACTGATTGAAAGAAGAGAAATGTTCCTTTCAAATTAGATCTTCGTCATCGTTTCTACGCCAATATACAGGAATAGTCAAAAATCACTGGAAAGTATCTTTGGGTTTCGTCAACCCTTTTTGGCACCGAGCCCAATTCTTTGGGTGGTATACGTGAATAAATTCAACTGATACAGGTGAATTGTTCAGATCACTTGGCTTGCAGGGACTGATATAAATAAAGTAGGACGATCAAATTACAAATTGTACAATCCATTTTGATACTACTAACATAACTGAGTAGTTTCTACAACTGTTGCCAAAGTATGGTGTCAGTCAACGAGGTAGCAAGAAGACAGGTATGAAGGAAGGAATGTTTATTGTCAACAAGTTGGACAGTAGTCGTTAAATATGGTACATCTTGCACTAGGGTTAGAGATAAGGTTTCTACGTCTCCCATCTGATATATGTCATGTCTGAAGTATATCCATCTTGAAGAACTAATCTGACTGACTCCTTGAGAATACATTTCTGTCTCATAGCTACGTCAGTTTGACCTCAATATTGATTGATTAAAAACTTGGTATTATTTAATCCGATGGTTGGTTGGTTTGTTGTATTATAATCTTTGTTGTGTTGTGTTCTCTGGGGAGCTGGGTTGTTCAATCGTGCAGAAGTTTTCATCATCGTTCTAGACAGTGACGTTATCACCACCAACTTCAGTATGAAGTGAGCTACCTGTCAATATCTCTCCGTCAGTGATTTGGTGGCTTGCTCTGACGATGTGGTCTATGATTGGTTGTTTCCTTCGACTTTCCTGTTGGCTGTTCCTCTCCTTCACCTCTGACCATCCTGTCGTTTATCATTTTTCTTATTGGTTGATAGATTGCGTCTATGTCTATACATCTGACTGACTGATTGACTGACCTGAATGCCAAGCTTCTAGGAATTCTCTGATGATATCCTTTGTGTTTCCTCTCTCCGTCAAAAATTTCTACACTGTCAAAATTGAATTCATGTCCACAGTTATTATCCACATACATTGAAATGAGTGATGAAATATCGTGGCGTTTAATAGCCAATTGGTCCTTATGTAGACGAAAGCGAAGGTGGAGCGGCCACTTTGGATAGAAGAAACACAAAGAATGTCGAAGAATTCCTAGTAGCTTGGCATTCAGGTCAGTCAGTCAGCAGTCAACAGATGTATAGACGTGGGTCCAATCTATGAACCAATAAGAAGGATGATAAATGACAGAAAGGCTAGAGGTTAATCAGAGGAACAGCCAACAGGAAAATCTATACGGTCAATGACAGAATAGTCGAAGGAAACAACTAATCACTACTAAATCACTCACGGAGAGATATTGACAGGTAGCTCACTTCATACTGAAGTTAATGGTGATGATGATGTCACTGTCTAGAAAGACACAATGAAATCATCTCCGCGATTAGACAACCCAGCTCCTCAGAGAAGACGTAATACAACCAAGACGATCCACCTAAGCTATAAATATTCTCCATTACTATTCAATATAATCTTTGTTTGTGTTATTATTATCATTATTGTTAGTAGTAGTAGTAGTAGTATTGATTAATTTCCTTGAATATCTTTGAATTTATTTCATTGTTCCACTAGGCTAGCTCTACTTCAAATGGTAATTGTAATCCATCTCAGAAACCATTTCGTCTAGCTACATTAATATGTTTACCATATCGATTTTTATGGTGGCTTACAGCTTATAATCCAGGCTTCTTAGAGATACCTCCTATTCTAACATCAAAGTTGAATAGTTCAGATAATTGTCATCATGATAATATGAATAATAACAACAATGAACAGAAATCTGGAACTTCTCCATTGAACTGGATTCAATCTTTAGCCAGAAAACATATGAATATGAATCAAGCGAATAATGATGATAATTCACTAGATAAATTTATTCATGTATTACCTGAACCTAGACGACGTCGTCGTTTAGTTCAACAACAGCTTAAAAGGATAAATACTTGTCGACGTGGACAATATATGAAGTATAATGGGAACTGTTTATCTAAAACTCTTATTCTCCCATTGAAAGGTTTAACTAATGATGGTTTAGATCAATTATGGGCTAATCCTAGTCATGTACCCTTGGAAATTTATGCTGATTTTGAAACTACACAAGTAAGTTACTCTCTCTATATATACATATATATTGGCATTTAATACTACTAACCTGTTGTTTATAGGTCACGGGTCATGTGTTCGAACCCCGTCCCACCTACTGAGGTATGTATGTATATGACTTATTGCATACTGGACGATTGTATTAAGTCTGTTTCGTTCTAGAAGCAGTAAGAAGTAGAAGACTGAGAAATTTAAACCTCTCACGAAGTTGACTTTACAGAGTCAGATGCATTCTGAGATATATTTACCATTACTGGTTAAATTAAGCCAGTGTTGGTTTCTATCCTGTCATAAGGATGGATATTTTGTTCCCAGTGTTACACTTGGATTTAACTATGATATTGTCTAACGAAATGTAACATGAAGTGGTTATAGAGGTTTGATCACAGATGCCTTCATAACATTTCTCGTGTTTGCTGGAATCATCGTATGAGTAAAGTTGAGGTTGGGCGAAAGGTACTAGATAAGATAGGCAAATCGATTGATGAAGTTATGAACGTTCGTAGATGGAGATGACTTCGGCATATACTGCGCATGCTGATTCATCCACTGCCTGCCTCACCATACCATTCCAGGAGAAGTTAGATTAGGTTGGAAAAGGATTTAGCGTGGGTGAACAAAACACATGGCACCAGTCCATGAAGTCTCTCAGTATCAATGTGAGTCGTGTGCAGAGGTGAAGACTGTGTGGCTTAGAGATCCCTGAGGTGATACGAATCACTGGTTGATCACTCTTGAAGTATGTCAACCTGAACCGATAGATGTATGTAGAGACGTGTAGCTGATTGCCCTACTACATAGATGTGTTCACATGATGATCGATTGTATTTTGTACTTATATGTACAAGCTTCCACGTTGATTATTGTCTGATGTCAAACGAATTCTGCTTGAAATGTATTTCTGTTCTCTTCAACACATCCTATTCCCTACAGTGATGAATAATGATACACGAAGATTTCTACTGATAACAATGGATATAAGTAGTATATGTAGAGAGGGTGGCAGAAATTATAGGGAATCGTCAGCAATGAATAAGGTTTCCACCAAGAGAAACGCAAGAGACAAGACGGAAGTATAAAGAGCAAACCAAGGGAGAAGCAGAAGAGGAAATGAAGCATATTTTGCAAATGATGGTTTTAATGCAAGGTATACCATATTAAGGGATTGCTGTCCCACTTGTTGACAATCAGCGTTCCTCCCTTCATACCTGTCTTCTTGTTTCTTTAATTGGTGTCTCTGCTTCTGGACGTGATAAAGATTATGTGGCCTGTAGAGTTCGAGGATGGAGATATCAAGGTCTTCCTCGAGGACTTCGAGTCGGTCGTAGAGCTGATAGGTGTCCGGGATCCAGGAGCAAATGTGGTATTACTTGGTACGTTGCTGAGGGGTAGAGCGAAAGCAGCATGGAAGTTGGAGACTTGAAGAAAACTTATCAGGGAATGGTTGAATGACTAAAAGCGGAGTTCACAAATCGTGTGCAGCGTCTTCTTCTCAAGAGACCACAGAAAGTTTATTTTGTGAAATTAAAATCTTAGAATGGGCTGGATAGCTGAAAGAAGTTATATTTACCAATGGTAAAAGGTGAAGAAATTTTAAAAGGCAACAGTGACAGAGAAGTTTGGTATTGGTTGGTACTTATCACCCTACTGCCAATGGAATCTCGTAGAGTCAAAGAGTTAGCTACTTGTAAAACTGAAGTTTTCTAATCGATCATTGTACCTAGAGAAACAATTTGCTACCATCTCAATTCTGTACAGCCAACGGTACGAGTCTTCTGAACACACTGAGCTGAAATCTAAGTGTGTTTGAGATGCCATATCCCACCTGTTAAATGTAAGATGGATGGATAGTGAAGTGATTGAGTGCGTCGACTATTTCACTTATTTGCAGAGTTCCAACCGACCGCCGAATGGGCTAGCGAGATATTCGACTACAAATTATAGGGCGACTATTATTATTATTATCATTACTATTTGCCCCTTGGGTTCCTGGTGGAACATAGAGCTTCAGTAGCAAGCCTCCATTGCACTCTGTCCCCTCCAGTCTTTTCAACCTCGCTCCACGACTGCCCATAAGCTTTCATTTCTTCCTCACACGATCTTCTCCGTGTCACCCACGAACGCCCAACTGGTCGTTCCCTCTTTGGACTCCACTCGAGGGCCTACCTTGGCATGTGATGTCCTCGAATGATCTTCTCAGTATATGCCCAATGCATCTCCATGTGCCTATTTGTTGGGCGATAGGTTGTTGGTTGGTTCGTTCCCAGAGTTGCTTTTTCTTTCTGACCATCTATCTGATCTCCATCTTCAGTATAGAGTGAGCGTAGGCGGGAGCTGTTGATGTATGGTGTTTATAGTTTGTTGAAAATGCTCTCTGAACCATATAACAGCACTGAATTGGTGTCAAGAATCCGGATGTTGTTCACGCTTTATACTGAGTGCAGTAGATCTCCACACTGATTTCAGATTAATGAACGCTTGTCTTGACATTCTAGTTTATGCCTATGCCGCCTGTAGTTGAAACGATACTGCCTAGGTAGGTGGGTAGGTGAAAGAGACTACTTCGTTTAACTTCCTCCTGTTGTTTGTGATTGATGCTTGTTGTTGTTGTTTACGTGTCTTCATCACCTCCGTCTTCTCTGCATTCACTTTTGAAGTCCCAGTCGCTAAAGAAACTGCGAAGCACAATGAAAATATAAAAATATGACAGCTATTACTGCTCTGTAATTCATCATATCTTGTTTTATACAACTCTGAGAAGTGGTCGTCAAAAGTGTAAGATATGAACCGATTTCTAGGTTCTAATCTCATATGTCTTTGTAGCATTGCTGGTGTTTGATGAAATCACAGTGTTGTAATCTATGATGAGGTTAGGTGAAAGGTACTTACTAGACAAGATAGGCAAATCAGTCGATTGTTAAAAAGTTTTGAATCTTCATAGATTTAGATGGCTTGGATGTATTCTGTGCATACCTAGCCACTAGCTACCTCAATATATCATGCTAGAGAGAGGATGTTGAATAATTAGGTTAGAAAATAGATTGAAGACAGCAAGATAAAGATTTGGCACCATTATCTTTAAATCGTTTTATTCTCTCACTTTTTCTATCCACTTATTGTTTGTATATTGTTGCTGTTGAAGTGTAACAACTTGAACTGATCCATTTGTGTACAAGATTCTACATGGATATTGTTTGTCTGATGGACTCTACTGAAATTATTTCTTCATAATTTGATATAATATAATTATGAAACTGGTCGATTTGGTGGTATACGCAGTTGACTTCCAATCGAAACTTGTTTCATCTAATGAGATTTTATACAGTCTCGGGCGCATAGATACACATACGAATGAATCTAACCGAAGTTTCAGGATCTATTTATCACTAATGGCTTAGATTTCAGTTATAGGGAACCACTTCAGGTTGCTACAGTTCATAGTAACAACAAAAGATAGATACACTGGTACCACCACATCTTAGTCGAACCAATATGGCACGTCGAAATAGGCAGTGAACGTCTCCATTTCACTCTCTTCTCTCCAGTCTTTCGAACTTGGCTCTACAACTCTCTCCCTATAAGCTTTCATTTCTTCCTCACACAATCTCCTCGGATGCTCGTTTTGGGTTCCACTCGAGGGACTGCCCTGACCTATGATGTCCCCAAATGGTCTTCTCAGTATTATGCCCAATCCATCTCCCCTTTCTTCTGCACATATCTTAACATGTCTCAAGTTAAACTGACTGTTTATGATACGGTACAATACATTAATTTGACTAGTTCTGTTGACCTCAATGACCTTTAATAACAGAAGTACATCGAGAATCTGCGAGCAATGGACAGCTGTTTCGTTCTAGTATAGAATTCCTCAGCAGAGGTTGGAAATTGTGAACCACTAGAAACCGACTAACCGAGTGTCTGAATGGTTAACGCGTTCACCGTGAAATCTGAAGATCCTGAGTCTGATCGCTAGCTGGGTCGTGGGTGCATACTGCTCAGCTGTCCAGTGCTCCCAGATTTTCAATTCTTCCCAACTAACGTCACTCCATCATGAATACTACTTCGAAATGTTAAAAAAATCCCCATTCATGTGAAAAATACATTACTGTATAGTCCTCATTAGTGACTTGCTTCCAAATGGATATCACGAAGGTGTAATGAGAAACCGTGACCATTGGTGGGGTGAACGAAACTAGTCGGAAGTGAAGACCTTGGGTGATAGTCGTGATATGTCATGAATTGAAAGAAGTTGGAAATTGTCAACCACTGGATGAATGATTAATGGGTTCTTTGTAAAACCTGAAAGTCCTATAGTAGTTGGACGAAACACTTGCTGTCCAATGTTCCCAGATATTCAATGGTTTCCCCCCCCCCCAAACTGATGTCAATTCATGATGAATAGTACTTCTAAGTTGAAAAAGAAATCCTCATTCAACTCAGTTGTATTTTTTGTTTTGTTTAATATTTCAGCTTGTCCTAACTAATTTACATCATATGTTAGCCTTATGGTTATATGGACAATCTTTAGCTGGTATATCTATTCAATCATTTATTCAATCACCAATGTTATTTTATCCATCTAATGGACATTCCAACTCGAGTACAATGCATACACGATCATATCGTCAATCGAATCGTTTCAATGTTAATCAATTGAACTGTTTACCAATGATTCCATCATCATCATCATCATCATCCGCATCCGCATCGTCATCCTTATCATTCAATCATCATGATCCATTGTTATACAATTCTATAAGACAATATCAACATCAACAACAATCTTTTCATCATCCTATACCATTATCATCATCATCAAATGATGATAATCTTTCAAATCCAATGTCTATAACACTTACTGGATTATCACCGTCAATATTTACAGATCATTCTAATTATATAAATCATCTTATACAACCATATTATTATCCACGTTATCCTTTAATGAATTGGCATGGTGTTAGTAATAACAAATATTCAGGGCAAACAATAACATCAGATTGTAAGCTGAGTAATCTTTTCATATTTATAACTATTATTATTATTATTTATGTATTGTAATGATGGGCAGTGGAATGCAGGATGCACATTTTGTCCTATTTAGGACTCACTGGTCAGCTGAATGTACCTGCACCCCAGTGTCGATTGATATTGTTCCCACTGCCTAGTCACTGGATTGCCTCGTCATACAATGTTGGCTGAGGTGGGTGCATCCAGGCTGGAAAAAGGCCTCAAGGTGACCAGACTAAAACATGGCACCAATGTATGAAGTCGTTGGCTCTTGGTTTAAGCCATGTAGGATGATGCAGACTAGGTGGTTGGGGTCGGCGGGACAAGAGGAACCAGTGGTTGGAGACTCTAGGTGATATGGCTCAGAACCGACGTCAGTGGCTCAGATGTATCCCCACACACATTATCCTCATCTTAACAACGCTATACCGAATCTCACCATTTTGTCACTCCTTTTCCTTTCTTCTCATACTTTATATTTCTTCTGACTGCATTCACTTATCTTCATCCTTCGCCTCACTACCTTTCCACTTCATGAACTGACGTGAGGTGTGGCAAGTTGGACCGTTACGCAGCAATGCCTGGTCGTATGTTGATAATGATGATGATGATGACGACTGGGACTCGGAAGCGATGGCTTCAAACGCCAGAGCGTTATCTATTACACCACCGAGCCACAATAGCCATTTCTTGTGCTATGGGTATAGGTTTAGTGTTATCGCAATATTGAGGCATCTTCACAAGAGCCCATATGCCGACAGAGACTGATCAATTCGGTCCAATCAATGACGGTGTAATACAAGCAATAACACTAAATCATTATTATTATTATTATTATCAGTATTACCATTACTATCATTATGAATGTTATTATTGTGGTGATCATTGCCATTGATATAATTATCACTATTACTACTGGTGTTAATATTGTCATTATTATTGTAATGGTTATTATTACCATTGTCGTTACTATGTTTAGTAGTGATGGATAGTGGCTAGCAGTGGAATGCAGGATGCACATTTCGTCCTATTTAGGACTCACTGGTCAGCTGGATGTACCTGCTTCCCAGTGAGTGATGTTGTTCCCACCGGGACTCGGACTCGGGAGTGATCGCTTTAAACACCAATGCGTTATCCACTACACCATCGAGCCACGATAGCCACTTCTTGTGCGACTCATGACTCAATCTCAATGGTTTCTAACTACTCAAGTTGTTCGCTAGTAGTATGCTTCGCTACTTCATCATCTTGACTAACTGATTGTAGGGTGGTTTCCAACCAAAACGTTATGTAACACCACAATCGCTCAATGCTGGTAGAACCATTAAACTAGTGTGTGACAAATGTGTCACTATATAGTTTGTAAATCACTTTGCAAATCGATCACCCTAATTGACGGATGATTGTCATTATTATCATTGTCACCATTATCACCATTATTATTATTACTATTACTGTTATTATTATCGCTTTCATTATTAATATCGTTATTACTGTGATTATTATAATTGTCACCATTATTATTATTGTTATTGTCAATACTATTGTAGTAGTAGTAATAATAATAATGATAATTATTATTATTATTATTATCTTTCCCTTGGGTTCCTGGTGGAACATAAGGCTTCAATAGCACGCCTCTAATGCACTGTGTTCTCGCCAGTCTTTTCAACCTGGCTCCACAACAGCCTAGAAGCTTTCATTTCTTCCTCATACGATCTCCATGTCACTCTCATCTCGGATACCCAGCTCACCGTTTCCCATCTGAGTTCCACTTGACTGCCTGGCAGGTGATGCCCCCAATCGGCCTTCTCAGTGTATGCCCAATCCATCTCCACTTCCTTCCAGAGCATATTTGTTAGGTGATAGATTCTTGATTGGTTCGTTCCCAGAGCTCATAGTTGCTTATTCTTATTATTCTCGCCATCTGATCTCATCTTCAGTACCAAGCCACCGTTATCGGCAGCTGTTGATGAATGTCTGTAGTTAGTTGGAAATCCCTCGCATAACGCACTAAGTATCTGAACCATACAGGAGCACTGACTTAACGTTGGTGTTGGAAATATGGATGTTGTTCACGCTTTGTGCTGAGTGTAGAAGATCTCCACACTGATATCAAATTAATGAAAGCCTGTCTTGCTTTTCCCATCCTAGTCTTGACATCCTCGTCTGTGCCTATGCCGCCTGTAGTTGAAACGATGCTGGCTAGATAGGTGAAAAAGGCTACTTCCTTCAAGTTTCTCCTATTGATGGTGATTGGAGCCTGTTGTTGTTGATGCTGTTGTTGGTTGGGTATCATTACTGTTATAAGCAGTATTATTATTATTATCAATATTACTATTACTACCATTATAAGTGTTATTATTGTGATCACCATTGCCATTATTATTACTAGTGGAACATAGGTTCTTTTCCGCGGTCCAGCGTATCCCCCTCTTCTCGCTCCCCACTGTTTGCTGCATGATCCAGTCGACCAGAATCAGGAATATCATGGGGGATAGTAGGCAACTTTGTTTCACTCCTGTCTTCACTTCAAAAGCATCACTGAGCTTCCCATTGTGAATTACTTGGCATGTGGCGTCTTCATATAGTTGCTGTTGAATGAGGTTGATAAAGGTTTGCGGTATTCCGTAGTATTGAAGCAGTTTCCAAATTACTTCTCGGTCGACGCTGTCAAAGGCCTTCTCAAAGTCGATGAAGTTGAGGTGCAGGTAAAGTTGACTGCCATTCTGTGCTGTGTTCTATGATGAAGCGTAGTATGGTGTTGCAATTTGGTCCACACATGATTTGCACTTCCTGAATGCAGCTAGCCTGTTCCGGTGGTAGTTGTGAATCCAGTGCATCCTTTAGTCTCTCCAGGATGATGCGGCCTAGTATTTTGCTTGTATTGGGTGGACAGGAGCTTGGTTCCGCGCCAGTTCTTGCTAACACTGAGGTCGGCCTTCTTCAAGTCTTTGACAAGATAGCCCTTCCAGACCTTCTGCAATACTGGTGTGGTATGAGCATGTCCATTGTTGTCTTTGCATTTGTTCTCAGTGGTTCTAGTGGGATTCCATCTGGTCCTGCTGCTTTCCCGCATTTCAGTAGCTTTATGGCTCTCAGATTACTATGATTATTGTTATTACTATTATTATTATTATTATTATTATTATTATTATTATTATTATTATTATTATTATGACTAAATCGCTAACTAATGTGAAGGTGAATTAATCAATCATCAGCCTAGTATGCCCCAGAGAGGGGGGGGGTGCGAGGAAGTTGGTTTTTCAATTTAATCATTAAACCTTTTTACTTATTTTCTAATCTAATAAACGTGTAATAATATCATAAGAATTATTATTATTATTATTATTATTCTTTATACCCTTTTAATGAATAGCTAGTACAATAAAACCTATACGTATTGGAGCCCCAACACTTTATGGTTACTGGCCACGTGGACGTTTTAGATATACACTTGAAGAGAAATCTAATTTAGATGGAAGAGATTATCCATCGTCTATATTTCATAATCATTTACAGTCAACACGATTTACATCACCTGTGACAACTGGTGGTTATACTACATTGATTACTAATTTACATTTTCAATCACCACATTCATCTACAACTGTAAATCATATTCATACTTCAGTTCCTGCACAAATTGTTCCTAATTCATATTCCTATCGTACTTCATCTGTTCCACCATATTCAAAAATTAGATTTCGTAATTCATGCAGTAATAGCGGTGGTGGCGGTACTACTACCACGACTACCACGACTACTATTACAGAGCCATTCATTTCGACTAGTATACCCCTACTGGATACACCGAATCGAAGTAATCGATCAAGTTTTGTTCATTATTCAAAGTCATCAAGTCATTTGGTAAATAATCATGAAAACAATCAGGGAACACGTACAAAACAGAATTTAAATGAATCCGTAGGTCTCCTTTATTCTTTCGTGTGTGTGTTTTTTCTCTCTTCTGTTAAAAATGTTGTGTTTTTTTTCTAATTTCACACACATATATGTTTATCTGGCCAACGTCCCCCCCCCCTTCCTATGGTGATTGAAGTAGAATAAAAAAAAATCTGGTCCATAGTCGGATTGGAAACTTCTAATGGTTGTTGATTCGAATCCAGCTATGGTCTAAATTTTCATTTCATCTTCAAACATCTCCCAGTATATGTTTATATGTCAATGAGAATTTGAAGCATTGGCCTAAACTTCTGATAAAGCTCTAGAAGGAGCCACAGTCTTCCATCGATCCTCTCCACCGATGACTAATAGCAATGTGGTCTATCTGTGTCCATCACTGAGTTGAGATTGGTGGACGCCATGTTAGACAGTGTCTTTCTTTATGCCTGAAATTGGTGCTGGCTAAAAATAGGCGGTTATCTGAGCATAGTTGTTGTAGACGATCACTGTTATCTGTACGTTCAGCTGGGATCCCGAAAGTGCCACCTAAGTGCCTTTCTGCCTGACTCAGTCTACCCACTTGTGCATTGAAGTCATCTGCAACAACCACCACGTCCGAACGTTTGGCTTTCGAGAGGAGGCTAGACAGTTTGTGGTAGAACTCGTCCTTCACTTCATCCGAGCTGCATTCAGTGGGTGCGTAAGCAGAGATTACATAGAGACAACGGCAAGTCTCACCATTCCTTTTAGTTCTCACTGTGCCGTTCAGCCTCATAGCGCAGAGGCGACTCTCAACTGGGATCCAGTCTATTAGTGAATTTTCTGCCCTAGTGCTTAGTGCTATGGCTACACCTGCAAGACCACGAGAGCTGGCTATCGAATCTCCAGAAACTGGAAGGGTGAATTTTGCGGATTCACCAGATTGGTCAGGAGAGGTTAGGTGAATAACCACACTTGGGTCCTATATGTGTGTCTCACAAACACAGCACACATCCATGGCCCGAGTTGCTAGAGTCTTTGCTAACGAAGCCTGTTGACCAATTTGATGGAGGGTGCGGACATTGAAGGCTCCAATATGTAATTTGGAGCATGATTTAAGGAGACCAGTGATGCTGTTCTGTGGATTGAGATCGTTGTCGAAGGCTGCAGAGGTAGGAGAAATTGAATATGATGCAGCATAGTTAATTGAGAGACGTGAGGGAAGATTAGAAGGTGGTGATGGGGCAGGTGGATAGCAGTCTGAGAAAACTTGAGTGCTGACAGAGTTGTGAGGGTGGTTGACACTTCCCCGCTGCCCACGCCGTGGAAGGCTATTTCTTCTTAAGGTATCTGAAAGAGATTTGTGTGACTGCACAGCCCATCGGACATCTGCTTGAGGCCTGTCACACACAGCCTTTTGAGTATGATTATTTTGAACTTTTGTATTTTTGGGGCCGGATGGTGGAAAGGAAACGACAAGTGAACCAACACCGACAGGCAGGCAGACCGTGGGGCATGGTGGAGTGTGTTATTTTCGGGGCCGACCTTTTCTAACCCCTCCCTCTCCCACTGAGAAGGCAGGTAGCATCAGCATGGCACTGCTGGTCATTGGAAGGGAGACACCTTACTGCTGTCCACTCCATCCAGCTAGCAGTAGTACGACCTCGCCCTCAGACCCTCATCATAGTGTAGCAATTTACACCACAATGGTAACTGCTTTTCATCTAACCACTATCCAACAGACCTTTCTGGTATGGTGGGACCTCGACGGGACAAGCGTTTTACCAGTATAGCTCGTTGTGTCATTGTGATATGGAAGCCCGACCACGAGGTCGAGGTAGCAGCTATCAGTCGGGACATTTTATAGTTGTGGAGTCTGATGAGAATTTACTGCAAAGACCACTGATGAGGTGACTTGATACGGTGTATATAAACCACTCTAATGTGGCTGACTGAGATGCAATCTATAGACCAACCAGAATGGTGGCTTCCAACTAATCTTAAGTTGTTCTGTATTAGCTAAGTTCGCTAGTTCACAACACTTTTGCGTCAGATATCACACGCACACACCTTGTAATGTTGCCTGACTAACGATGAATTCCATTTGAAACCCACCCTGTTGACACCAACACAGTTGGCTGACTGACAGTTTGGAAAACCACATGGACTGTGAAATTTGTAGGTCATTTAAAACTTGACCACCCTGATTGAAGTGTACTACTCTGAAATGACTGAGTTAATCATAAGACACTTTATTCGACAAAAAGTACGTCATTCACACACAGACAATCAAAAGTTAAATGGCTGGTTCTGAATGGTCAACTGTAGGGATGAAACTGTCCAATAAGGTTTTTCTTGACCACACAGCACAGCAACATGAAACAGGAATTAACATACAGAAACTTTTACGTTGGCGGCTGATAACTTAAACTGTTGACTCTCGTTTAAGGCTCTGCCTATCACTTCGTCTTGATCAACCACTTTAGAGAGAGAGAGAGAGAGAGAAAGCCACAGCGTCACTAGGCTTCTGGAAATGCTCACCAATAATCTTTATGGGCCTGTCTCTCATTGGTTTAGGCAGTTGACTCTCAACAAACAGTAGGTCATCGGTTCGAACCCATCTCGACCTAACGAGGTTTGGGCAACGGACTAGGTAGGGGTGTCCGTTAGTCTCTCAGACAATAGGCGTGGTTCATTGTTGTCTACTGTATGAATGTTCACAAAGTTACTATGAGTCTATGTCTCTGCTTCTTCAAGAACGTCTATATACATAGAATTCAACAATGGAAGATTTTTATCAAGTCTAAGCAATAGAAACTCAAATCTCTAGCACACTATTAATTGACCATTGAAAAATCATTGTCTATGTTGAACAATTGGAGACCAATGATGTTTTCAGATTGTATACGAGATATACGACAATCTTAATAAGGACGATCATTCTAAAGGAAGATGTTAATAATAACGAACCTTATACCTGAAAATCGTTAGCTAAATTTTTCTTCTGTTGAGTGATATTTCATTCCTGATGAATTTCTGTATTATCTCACACCATCGTCCTCTTACTACACATCATATATTCACTTCAGAGAGAGAAAGAAAGAAAGAACCGATAAGAACATGTCATAGTGTCATCACACTGACGACTGTGTGTATGTGTATGTGTTCGGCAGACCTGACTAATCATCATCTACCCCATTAATTATTATTTGTCCTTCCAGTTTCTAGTGGAACATAGAGCTTCAGTAACACGCCTCCATTCCACTCTCTTCTCTGCAGTCTTTCGGACCTGGCACCACGACTGCTCACAAGCTTCCATTTCTTTCTCACACACTATCTCCTCCATGTCATCCTCGCCTCGGACGCCCAACTCATCGTTTCCCCTTTGGATTCCACTCGACGGCCTGGCCTGACACGTGTTGTCCCTAATCGACCTTCTCATTGTATACCTAATCCATCTTCACTTTCTTCTGGATACTTGTTGGGTGATAGGTTGTTGGCTGGTTCGTTCCCAGAGTTTCTTGTTGTTTATTCTTTCTGGCCATCTGATGTTCAGTATCAAGCCAGTGTTATCGGCAGCTGTTGCTGTATGATGTCTGTAGTTTGTTGGAAATGCTTTTCGTGATGCGCCAAGTCTCTGAACCATATAGCAGCACTGATTTGGTGTTGAAAATCCGGATCTCGTTCACGCTTTGCGCTGAGTGTAGAAGATCTCCACACTGATATCAAATTAATGAAAGCCTGTCTTGCTTTTCCGATCCTCGTCTGTGCCTATGCTGCCTGTAGTTGAAACGATGCTGCCTAGATAGGTGTAAGTGAAAGAGGCTACTTCCTTTAGGTTTCTTCCGTTGGTGGTGATTGGCGCTTGTTGTTGGTCGTGGTGGTGTTGGTTGGGTATCTTCATCACCTCTGTCTTCTCTGCATTCACTTAAAGTCCCGTCTTCGCTTCTCTGCTTCTTCTGTTAACTTGTTAGTTTTCATCTGCAGATCCTTCGAGTGTGTGCGACATTAGACGTCAATCTTCATCGTTAGCGAAATCCAAACCTTCTAGGCTCTTCTCATCGATCAAACAGCGTATGCCCATCATCTCACTCCTCACGGTTCGCTTCATGTTTTCGAGTTGATCACAATCAGGAATATCTTGGGTGACCAATTTTCAGTCATTTTACGAAGAGTCTACAAATATTGATCCTTTTTTTTCTTGTGATCTCCTTATTCAGACAGTCTACACTATCCCATCTACGGTTTAGACTGATAGTTAGAGATTTTATTGATTTGTGCCTGGTCACGAGAAGTCATCAAGTTTATGCTAACTTCCGGAGAACATTTACACATTGAAGTGAGTCAAAGCCACCTGAATCGTTCAAGATTCACTAACTTGTCTTTCTTGCCTAGTTACACTTCGTCGTCTAACTTTGATATTGCTCACATGTTGGTTGCATTATCAGACACACAAGGAATACTTGTCAGACAAATGTAAGAAATCGATGTAGTAGAGCTCAACATTACTGTGTAATGGTTTAAAATAGTATATATCAACGAGATTGTAATTCAATGGAAGAAATTACAAGTGGTAGAAAGTCGTGATACGCTAACAAGGGGAATAAGAAAATGCTGAATTCAGTGTAGTGGTTATAATGAAGATAAAGTATTGATGCATCTGAGGTATATCACTCATAGTCTCGAAATATCGACTAGTCTACCTTTCTATACCATAACATAAACCGGGGGTTGTCAAAGACTGTCATTTTTTTCAGTCTAGTCGCCCCGATTCTTTTTTCCCAGGTTGAACCTACTTGTGTTAGGAAACAGATGGTGACTAGGCATGTATAACGCATGCCTCTGCTATATCAAGTCGATCCAGGTTCTTCACCTCTTGTCTACACTTGATTTCTGCGTTGCTGACGACGTGATGGTATGACAATACACAATCTATGCTGCAAAGGCAATAGAGGTTAAACAGTTTAAACCTTCTCATGTTGTCTACCTTGTATGGCAGTGTTGCATAGGGATATAGTAGGATAGAGAGAACTGCTGGTTACCCTGTGAATATCACTAGAGCATTACGCCCCCTTCTTGAGATAACCACCTATAATGCTATTCTGTTTCACCTTGTTGCTCTGTATCACGCAACAAATATGCAGGAGGAAGTGGAGATGGATTGGGCATGCACTGAGAAGGCCGACTGGGGACATCACGCGTCAGGCCAGTTGCTCGAGTGGAACCCAGATGGGAAGCGACGAGTTGGGTGTCCGAGGTGAGGTGACATGGAGGAGGTCGTGCGAGGAAGAAATGAGAGCTTCTGGGCTGTCGTGGAACTAGGTTCAAAAGATCTCAGAGAACAGAGGTCACTGGAGATGTGCTACTGAAGCCCTATGTTCCACTAGGAACCCAAGGGACTAATAATACATAATTGTTGCTCTGTCTTGTTTCAAATAGCTTACAGCTTTCTAGGTTTAATGACCCTATCTGAATGTTCTATTCAGCATCCGAGTGAATATTGGGCAGTGCGATGGTAATTTGAAGCCAGTTGAAGTGTTCTGTGCATCGTTCTAGTCATCTGCTGTGTGAGTGAATCACAGACTCATCCTTCACATATCTTTAGTCTTTACTGCCCACCACACTTCGCAGTTGTTGCGTAGATTTTTTTGCCAGTCGATATTTGAGTTGCTTCTACTTGTCATCGTACTTGGAGCCTGCAGCAGACTGGAGATGTCACTAGCACGTGGCTGGTTGTTACAGAAGTAGTAGTAATCTTTCACCAACCCTCTTCAGTGATAATCGATACCATTGCGACGTATCTGAGTTGATGTTTGTGCTGGTTAAAAATAGTTGGTGACCGTTTAAGCACACTTATAACCGGCAATCGTTGTTATCTATTTGTTCATCTGGGATTCCGAAGCGCCATCTAAGTCCCTTTCTGTATGACTTACCCTATTGAAATCACCTGCTAAAACAACGTTATCTGAAGGTTCGACTTTGAGTAGCAGGCTAGACAGTTTTTCATGGAACTTCTCCTTCAATTCATCTCATCTCTGCGCAAGTGAGTTTCTCTACTTTTTTTTAATCCTCTATATGCCGTTTAGTGGAACAGCGCATAGGCGACTGTCAAGTCGGAAAGGGGACGGGGGGATTCAGTTGAACAGAGCACTTTATGGCCTATGGCTACACCTCCAAGACTGTAAGAAGTAATTATCGAATAGCAAATTTTCCACATTCAGTCTATTGGTCAAAGTTCTTTTTAATTGAATGATTGTATAACATACATCTATGATTTATGATATCAGAGTTTCGACTACTGAAGCGTGTTTGCCTAGACTACCTGGCTTTTACGATATTCACTTAAGTTCTTTGTGATTATAGAATTTATTCACTTGTCACTGGCACACACTTGGTAAGTCAGTCAACACAATAGACATTTTTTGAACCTTAATTGTGTTGTACTTGAACGTGTTGTGTATGACAGGGGGTGTTTCTTCATCTCAGTCACTATATAGCCCAACTTGAATCTAGCAAAAGATACTACTATTGAAGTATTTAAGTAGTTAGAATCTACTCAAACGGGTTCATAATAATTTAGTGTAGTTTCCAGAGGATACCTTGTTGATGCCACCACCACAGTTGATTGTCTGGCTGACAGTTGAGAAAAACTACTCAATTGTATAAGAAGTGTCAGCTAGCCAAATTCGAATGACGTCGATTAGTTCAAGTCTATGAGCTGATCAACTGACTTGGCCGTAAACCAGTGAAACATTCACCTGATAGTTGATTAGATCAATCTGTTCTAGCGGTTGAATGGAAGTTGTTGACAACTCAAGTTGTTATTCGCTAGGTGATATATACACACACACACACCTTGTGATCTCAGCAGAATGGTATTGTTTCTAGCGGGAAACCCTTTCAGCCATGTACAAACTAACTTGGATCGCTCTAAGCAGATTACGTTGTGTGTGTGTGTGTGTGTGTGTGTGTGTGTGTTGTAGGCTATCGCTCTCGCTCTTCAGCTGTTGGGTAAATAGTTATTGGTTGCTTAGGGAAATTATTAATAATGACAAATAAATTTCACCTGTATATTTATATACGAAGTAATTTTTATCTCTGATTGTTGTTGTTGTTGTTGTTGTTCCCTTTTACAAATTTTATCTAGCGGAACAAGGATGATTTACCTGTCGGTGGTGGTAGCTAGCTTTCTCCCGCCCCCCCTTCCCTCTCTCTCTTTGTTCAATACACAATTTTAGAGTTATGCGCTCGTGCTTCTTCCTTTTTCTCGTTGTTTTTTTACACCTTTTGTTGCTAACTCATTATATCTCAATGATTGTGTGAATAAATTACTGTGAAACATAGTTGAGATAGTAGTTTTCAGTCTTTATCTAATATACCTATTCACCTTGTTTTCAGCATTCTTCAACTTCCTGTTGTTTTTGAATATCAACGAGTTTGTGAGTATAATAGAGATGAAGTAATGAGGATCAGTTAACGCGCATGACTATCCTATGATCATGAAATTTTTCTATGTTCAGGGTTATCGCTTTACCACCCCCCCCTCTCTCTCTCTATCCCCCTCACCCTTTGTCCGTCTTTTCTCTCTCTCTCTCTCTCTGTCGTTAGTTTCCCGCCTCGCTTTGCCCCCTCCTCGATAAATTAACCCCAATGTGATTCGCTTATTAAGACTATTATCTTATTCTTCTCTAACTCATTTAGGGATCATAATGTTGCTTTGCTTATTCATTCACTATCTGTTTATCTATCTCCACCACCACCAAGAACACATCAACTCTCTTGTATAAACAATGTCATTTTTTTTCCTTTTGTATTAGACACTTTTTTTTATATAGTCTGTGTTCGTGTTCCTGTCGGCTTTACTGTTGTGTCGGTGTGTGTGTATGTGTATGTGTTTGCCGACCTTTTTTGCATAGAGATCGGAAAGAAGATGTGCGCTCAAGTTTTTCACTTTTGAAACAATCATTTGCTCACAATAAAGCAGCTAACCCACTTCGTCGCTCCTCCCCCTGCCCCCCGCCTTCGTCTTGACCTACTACTACCAGTAGTAGGTGTTTCTGATTGAAAAATGTTTATGTTCCCCTTTCATACTACTAGTGTTATTATTATTATTATTTTCTTTTTCACATGTATAAGTGTGTCTGTGTGTTTTATGTGGTTTGGGGACTCCCTTGCCCGATGTGTGTTTACTTAGCATAAAAAACACAATTTTGTGTACCATTTATCTGTGCCTTGAGAAAGGGAACAGGGGGATGATGATAGCTTGTTTACTTTCTTTTCTAATTTAGTTGACGGTGTAGGGGGGAGGGTGGGTACTTGGGTCTTTACTACTTCCCCCCCCTGTTTTATCTTTCATTTTTGTTTCTTGCTTCCCACTTGCAAACTATGTAGACTCTTTTTTTTTCTATATTTACAACAAGGGAAAACATAATAAATACTCTTTGTTTTTTCCAACTCTGTGTGTGTGCGTGTGTGTGTTAGTTAGCCTTTTCATTGTTCTTCAAGTGTACCCTCATACAACACTATTGGTCAACTTATGAACACAGAACTATTAAAACTTCATCATAAACTGAATCAGTTGTGTATGGATTCAATCTACCCACACTTAGTATGATAATCTAACCAACTTATCATCATATTGGCGACTAGAGATAGATGGATTTTCAATTCTATGAATCCATAGCACTAGTCAGTATCCACTTGATACTTGAACTGTTATACAATAACCATTGAATGATCGCATAGACGTAGAATAGGCGTTGTTTTTTTCTTTTTCAATGCATACAGGTGAGTATGTTACTTTGTTTTCCCTAGTTCTTAACACATTGACTTAATAATTGACATATTATAGCCGCTGGTTCGAGCCCAGATTTCCATTTCATCTTCAATCAATATCAGTCCTTATCAAAAGAGAACCAGTTTTAGTATAAAAGATAATACGGAATGGTATAAGAATTTGAACATGTGTTCAAAAAGACAGAAAAGGAGAATGCGGTTGTGTAATCCTGAAGGATCTAATGAGGTTCCTAGTGGGGACATACCGCTTCAGTAACATGTCTCCACTTCACTCTCTTCTTTCCAATCTTTTCAACCTCGCTCCATGATTGCCCGCAAGCTTTCATTTCTTTCTCACACACCATCTCCTCCATGTCACTCTCACCTGGGACGCCCAACTCATCGTTTCCCCTTTTGGATTCCACTCGACGACCTGGTCTGGTGCGTGATGTCCCCAATCGGCCATTTCAGTATATGCCCAATCCATCTCCACTCTCTTCTTGGGTGATAGGTTCTTGGAAATGCTTTTCGTAACGAGCCAACTCTCTTAAGTACCACATTGAAGTGTTGACTTCCTTGACTGACATTTGTAGTGTTGAAAATCTGGATCTTGTTCACACTTTATGCTGAGTACAGTGCAGTAGATCTCCACACCGATTTCAGAATGATGGAGGAAGACCTATCTTTCCGATCCTGGTTTTGACGTCGTCATCTATGCTTGTTCCGCCTGTAGTTGAAACAATCCTACCTTCTAGGTAGGTAGTTAAGTGAAAAAGACTATTTTTTTTTACATTTCTCCCGTCGATGGTGATTGGTGCTTGTTGTTGTTGGTTTGGATATCTTCATCACATGTGTCTTATCTACGTTCATCTGAAGGAAATCCCGTCTTCCTTGGCTGCCCTGCCTTGGTTAGGGTTAGGATAACAGAAATAAAAGGAATATGGAAAGAAGTACATTAAGTCTTCCTTAGCCAGTACAGATCTTCGGATTGTTCATTTGAATTCCTATGACCTCAGCTGTGTGAGTTCGAACTCGTTTAGAATGATTGGATTGTGGTGGGATATGGTAAACCACTTTGAACGCTTACTCGTTTTATCCAAAATAGAGCTTCTTATACGTTTTACCTGTCTTTTTCCAAGTCATAATAGTGTAAGTGGTTAATACATTGGTCAAGTTGCCTAGTTGTGCAATTGATATAACTCATATGTCTCCATAGGTGCAGTTCTGTTTGATAAATACCCGAGAACATGAAAATTTGGAACAATTTACTGTCATGCTTAATTATTCATCTGTTTAATTAGTTGTCAAACTTCACGGCTATGCTACTACACATCACATAGTTTCGTCACTTATGTGGTTTATGGCTAATTCTTACGTGAATAAAGTGTGTCTGGAACGTTCTCATTACGTGACTGCTTTCAGCTCAGCCTATTCATCATATACTTCCTTTTTTTTCAGGATAAAACCAGTCTTAGGTTATGTGCTCTTGACAATATAAGAAGTTGTAAAGCCCCTGATTCCACTCCTGTTCGTTTCACAAAAGGAAGCCGTGTTGACATAACTATTAGGCAGTTGTTATAACTTCCCATGACTTCTCATCAGTTGTAAACAGCGTCCTCAATTGTGATGGGATATTAGTAGTAGCAGTAGTAAGATAAGAAAATTCAGTCAGAAGAAATATAAAGAAGTCAAAGAGAGAAAGGAAGAATGAGAAAATGGTGAGATTCGGTATAGTGTCGTTAAGATGAGGATAATGTGTGTGTGTGTGTGTGTGTGTGTGTGTGTGTGTGTGGCCGATACATCTGCGCCAGTGACATCGGTTCTCAGCCATGTCATCACCTACAGTGTCCAACCACTGGTTTCTCTTGTCCCACGGATCCTAACCGGCTAGCTAGTTTGCATCGCCCCACATTGCTGAAACCAACAGTCAGAGACTTCATACATTGGTGCCATGTTTTAGTCTGGTCACCTCGGGCGTTTTTCCAGCCTGGACCTACTTCGGCCAAGATTGTGTGATGAGGCAATCGGTGACTAGGTATACGTAATACGTGTCCCAGCCGACCATCTCAATCGATGAAGGTTCATAACCTCGTCAACTGATTTACCTCTACTCCTTGAAACTCTACACCTGACTTCTGCATTGCTCACGTAGTGGTAATGACACAGCATACTTAAAATGTGTAGCAATAAATGAAGATTTGAAATCCAGGATAAACAATCAATCGTAGAAAGAGGGGAGGGGAGTAACGGATAAAAGGGGTTGCTTAAGAGTCAGTAGGTTACGTATATGTATATATATATATATATATATATATATATATATATATATATATATATATATATATATATATATATATATGATACAGTTACCAAGGTGTGAAAAGGTTTCTTCATCGTCTCTCTCTGAGTACGCGTGTCAGGTTAAAAGTGTTTGATGGTGAAAACTTCTGAAAAGCGTAACTAATATGGCGTTCGTTGTTTATTGAACATCCTCAAGGATTGAGAAACATTTGTTTCATAACATGTTTCCATCATGTGCCTGGTGGTTGAGCTAGTAAAAACGTCTTGATACCTTCCAGATGCAGATGTGTTGATGTGCCCCTTTGTTTCAGTGCTTCCTATATAATTGCTTCTACAAGAACATGTGTATAGATATACACAGTTGGAGATGATGTGAGATGAGTATTTGTCTACTTTTCACTATATTATAAACTGAGATCAATCTGGGAGGATGGCAACTCCTTCTCAGTGCAACTTTTATTCTTCTGTCTATTCCTTTCAACAGTTGGGATCTCTCTTTATGAGTTTTCCTCAATCTTGGTGAATTCTACTTCCAGTTTGTTTTTTCCGCATACCGTTCTTATTGTAATGAAGAGCATCTTGGCTAAACGACGCTTATAGTTGACAGGATAGAAAGTATTGTAGTGAAAGGTAGTGATCAATCCATATATCTTTTCTGTGAACCTCTGTCTGATACTCAGATCCGAAAATGGAATCTATCCTCATTTTTGTATTCCATTGTAAAATTAATATTTGAATTAGCTTGATTGAAGGTATCGAACAACTTTGACTCGGATATGATCGGCAGATTGGATAGGATAGGTGGTGGTAGTTAACCCGTAGATATTCTATTAGTTTCCCAGTGTAGTTCAACACTAAACTGGAAGTGAATACTAATGTGGCAGTAATTGACAATCAGCGTCGACCGAGAAGTAATTTAACACTACGCAATACCACAAACCTTTATCAGTCTCATTCAACAACTATATGAAGACGCCACATGGCAAATAATCCACAATGGGAGGCCCAGTGATGCTTTTGAAATGAAGACAGGGGACAGGAGTGAAACAAGGTTGTCTACTATGACCCATGATATTCCTGATTGTAGTGGACTGGATCATGCAAGAAACA